ATTAAGATACAAGTGTTCTATATAATCTATCCTATTTGTGAAAATCGGTAGCCTGTTTACTTAATTTAGATATTCTTTGAATGATTTAGTTGTCAGAAAACAACACCGGACAACATGATTTTTGGGGGGTTGAACATTTAAATTATAATATTTTATTAGAAGAAATATAAGAAAGAGTGTTTAATTGGCAATAGTTGGTGCATAATATACTTTAGTTAATACTGAAACTTAAATAATAAAATTTTCCAAAAAGATGCCTGAATAAAAATATAATTGCTGGTGAAAGATGAAACATGGAAATTAGACTTTTTCAGATATTGTCTCCTATACCGTTAATTGCTACTTAATCTTGGTCCACCAAACCAATAAACAAGTAGAAAGTTGGCATGGCCAACCTATATTCCCCAAAATAAAAAGTTGGTTCCTCACATAGCATGTGTGGCTGTCAATTTTCCAAAAAGAGGCAGAAGATACCAAAGGGACAATAAAAATGCATAAGTTAAAGAGCAACCAACAAATGAATGGCAAAAAATATAAAAGACAAAACACTTCTTAGAAAACTTAAGAAGGAGCAACATGAACCTCATCAAAAACTGGGACTGATCACAGGTGCTCCGGAAATGTAAGCAGATCCTGCTCCACTTGTGATTATTGTGGTGTTGCTCATGATTAGTACAAATTTGGTTATGTCAGTAACAACGAAAAAGGGACAGGATTGTGGCTACAACAATTGGAACATATTGGAACATATCCCTGGTCATATGCGACAGATATTCCACATACCTGTCAACCAATTCATGATAGTGTCCATTAAACTTTTGAAAGGATGACTGTGACCTTTACTTTTGATCGATTGACCTAAAAAGACTTTGTTCTGTTCCGTCTATCTACTCAGTACCTATGAACCACTGTATAAATTGAATTAAATCCAACCAGTGTACTTTAATAATTTACAATTTAGATTTTAAAATGGCAAATGAGACAACTTTCCAACAGATAACAAAGGATGATGATGCATAAACAACTATGTATGCTCAATGAAATAAAATATGTTTAAACCACTCACACAGAAAAAACAGATTCCACCTCTTATTTCTATAGTTTGTCTATTTTAGCACCTATAACCTGAAAATCAATAGAGCTCTCGAGTCTATCTTCCAGCTTCTTAATTTCAGTTTAATCCAACAAAAGAAACTGAAAGTTATCATCCATAAATCATTTAACAAAAAAGTTTTTTAGAAGTAATACTGACCTGTTGATCCCATAATCAATTGCATTCTTTCCTTTTCCATCTACATAGGTTTCATTCCAATCTATTAAGCTATATTTAAGTTAATATCCAGAAAGCATTTGATAAGGTCCTGAGGATAGACAAAGCAACGACCATATGCTCCAGATAAAAATAAAATGCTCCGCTGGGGCGCAGCTTGATACGACCGCAGAGGTCGAATCCTGAACAGTTGGGGCAAGTATGGACACAACATTCAAGCTTGATACAGCACTGAATTTGGATTGTAATTAAATATTTGACACAGCATAGGTTTCTGACACAGAATGAAAGTGGTCTAAGAACTTAAAAAATTTTAATTTACCTATTCAAACCATATCATTATTATTTGCTTTTATATATAAATCAGAAATAACCAATTTAAAATGGAAAATTTTAAAGAAAAAAAATCCCCCCCAAATTTTTTTGAACCCCCTTATGATTCATCACCCCCAAACTCAATCCCAGCTTTCCCTTTGTGGTATGGTACCTTGCAGTACAATTTCAGAGAGATCCATACACTTGAACACAAGTTATTGTCTGGAAACTAGAAAAATGCTTGTTTTTTGGCCCCTTTTTGGCCCCAAATTCCTAAACGTTTAGGGCAATTACCCCCAAACTCAAACCCGGCTTTCCCTTTGTGATATGGAACCTTGCAATACAATTTCATAAAGATCCATACACTTACACACAAGTTATTGTCCTGAAACTAGAAAAATGCTTGTTTTTTTGCCCTTTTATGGCCCCTAATTACTAAAATTTTGAGGCAATTACCCCCAAACTCAAACCCGGCTTTCCCTTTGTGATATGAAACCTTGTGATACAATGTCAGAGAGAACCATACACTTACACACAAGTTATTGTCATGAAACTAGAAAAATGCTTGTTTTTTGCCCCTTTTAGGCCCCTTATTCCTCAACTTTTTGGGCAATTACCCCCAAACTCAATTCCAGCTTTCCCTTTGTGATATGGAACCTTGTAGTACAATTTCATAAAGATCCATACACTTACGCACAAGTTATTGTCATGAAACTAGAAAAATGCTTGTTTTTGCCCCTTTTTGGCCCCTAATTCCTAAAATTTGGAGGCAATTACCCCCAAAATCAATCTCGACATTCCCTTTGTGATATGAAACCTTGTGATACAATGTCAGAGAGATCCATACACTTACACACAAGTTATTGTCATGAAACTAGAAAAATGCTTGTTTTTTGCCCCTTTTTGGCCCCTAATTCCTAAAATTTGGAGGCAATTACCCCCAAAATCAATCCCAGCATTCCCTTTGTGATATGAAACCTTGTGGTACAATGTCGGAGAGATCCATACACTTACACACAAGTTATGTCTGGAAGTTACAAAAATGCTTATTTTTTGCCCCTTTTTTGCCCCCTAATTCCTTAACTGTTGGTACCATAACCCCCAAAATCAATTCCCACCTTCCTTTTGTGGTATTGAACCTTATGGTAAAATTTCTTTGAGATCCATTCACTTAAACTAAAGTTAGAGTGCGAAAACTTATGTGTCTTCGGACGACAACAACGTCATACCAATATACGACCACAAAATTTGTGGTCGTATAAACTAGAGGCTCTAAAGAGCCTGTGTCGCTCACCTTGGTCTTTGTGCATATTAAACAAAGGACACAGATGGATTCATGACAAAATTGGGTTTTGGTGATGGTGATGTGTTTGTAGATCTTACTTTACTGAACATTCTTGCTGCTTACAATTATCTCTATCTATAATGAACTTGGCCCAGTAGTTACAGTGGAAAATATTTTGTAAAAATTTACAAAAATTTACAAAATTTATGAAAATTGTAAAACATTGACTATAAAGGGCAATAACTCCTTAAGGTGTCAATTGACAATTTTAGTCGTGTTGACTTATTTGTAGGTCTTACTTTGCTGTACATTATTGCTGTTTACAGTTTATCTCTATCTATAATAATATTCAAGATAATAACCAAAAGCTGCAAAATTTTCTTAAAATTACCAATTCAGGGGCAGCAACCCAACAACGTGTAGCCTGATTGGTCTGAAAATTTCAGGGCAGATAGATCTTGACCTAATGAACATTTTTATCCTGTCAGATTTTCTCTAAATGCTTTGGTTTCAGTGATATGAGCCAAAAACTGCATTTTACCCTATGTACTATTTTTTAGCCATGTCGGCCATCTTGGTTTGCGGGCGGGGTCATAGGACACATTTTTTAAACAAGATACCCTAATGATGATTGTGGACAAGTTTGGTTAAATTTGTCTCAGTAGTTTCAGAGAAGATTTTTGTAAAAGATTACAAAAATCTACGAAAAATGGTTAAAAATTGACTATAAAGGGCAATTACTCCTTAAGGGGTCAACTGACCATTTTGGTCAAGCCGACTTATTTGTAGATCTTACTTTGCTGAACATTATTGCTGTTTACAGTTTATCTTTATCTATAATAATATTCAAGATAATAACAAAAAATGACAAAATTTCCTTAAAATTACCAATTCAGGGGCAGCAACCCAACAACAGGTTGTCAGATTCAACTGAAAATTTCAGGGCAGATAGATCTTGACCTGATAAACAATTTTACCCTAAATGCTTTGGTTTCAGAGATATAAGCCAAAATCTACATTTTACCCCTATGTTCTATTTTTAGCCATGGCGGCCATCTTGGTTGGTTGGCCAGGTCATCGGACACATTTTTTAAACTAGATACCCCAATGATGATTATGGCCAAGTTTGGTCAAATTTGGCCCAGTAGTTTCAGAGGAGAAGATTTTTGTAAAAGTTTACGGACGACGGACGCCAAGTGATGAGAAAAGCTCACTTGGCCCTTTGGGCCAGGTGAGCTAAAAATTGGAAAATAGCACTAACCTAATTACAAAATGTTACTGTGAATCACTGACCAATAAAAATGAGGTCAAAATCAAGTGAAACCTGTGTTCTGTAATTCTATAAATATAGTTTGACCTTTAGAAATTGGTAAACACTTACTTACAAAGCTTACGATGAAGCATTAAACCCTGAAAATGAGATCCAAGTTCATGACCCCTACAAGACGAGCATATACATCTGACAATTCTATAGAATTCGATATAGTTGGAAGGTGCTGATCTGCAATCCAAAATGGTCAACAACTCCGTTCTTATATGGAGGGCCTTTGATTGATTGATTGGTTGGTGTTTAATGCCACTTTCAGCACTATTTTGTAGTAGTCAGTTTTTATTGGTGGAAGAAGCCAGAGAGAACCACCGACCTTGGATAGGAAAACTAACAATCCTAGTGATTCGAACTCGCAACCTCAACTTCTTAGACCATTCGGCCAGGGAGGCTCCTCCTCCTCTTTGAAACCATTTCCCATATTATTTTGGAAGAATGAGCTATCAGATTCCCATTTATCAGTTGAGTCAAGACATGCTTTCAGAATAGCTACTACTTAAAAAAGGATAAATTCTATATTTTCTGCACAATTCAACACCTGCTGGAACACCTGTATGGAGACTTTTAAATATATAGAAAATCTCCTTTCTGAATCCATTTGTACTACTCTCATTATCCTATATCTTATGTCAAAATTCTGATAATAGACTGATTGAAATGTGACAGAATGAAGGAGTGTATCTTATAAAAGTGCTAGATATGAAAATATTGCTTCAAATTTAATGTGTAATTAAAGTGAAACATATGAAAAGCTGAGATCATTTCATAGGAATTCTGGATTTCATGCACTAATACAGATACAATAATGTTTTTTTTGTAACTTTATTTTCCAATAAATAGAATTTTGAACATGATTATGATAATATATATACAGTGTATGATACATCAAATTGCCCTCAATGTAAGGTAACCGAAACAAGCACTACTAAAATAAACTACATCACCATTTTAGCCAAAATCAATGAAGTAAAAATAATTTTTCATTTTAACCAAAGTCACAAAACTTTTACCGGTATTTATAATTTAGTCAAATCTCATAATGATGTTTAGGTGAAAATCTTAAAATTAGTTTATAGTGACTGAATAAACATAGGTATAATAGACTTTTGAAACAAATTATTCAATATACTGGCTGAATGCTTTTTTTTTCTAATACCTTAAGGCAAAATATTCATGTATTAGGTGTACAAAATTGTCAGATAAGAGTACATTTAAGAGGAAAAATATTAAAGTTTTCTATGTAACAAACTAATAATCCATCCACTGCTCCAACTAGTCTGTCCAAATATCTTTCAGAGGTCTTGATTCAGTATCTTTAACATTTACAAGTATAATTTTTTCACACTCTCATTTGCTTTAAGCAGTTTTCAAAGGGGCATTAGCTACGAGATATGAAAAAAAATCAAAATATTATTTTTTTTGTTCAACAATAAATGAAAGTAAAATAGTGAAATAATAATTCGATTTAAGCAGCCAATTTGGTTCAATTTTGTCAAAATAAGCTAAGAAACATCGCTGATGAATTGTTCACTTGCAAGTGAATAATTCGACCTCATTGAATCCGTATTCATGTAACCTTCAATTTAACCCCTTAGCTGGACATGGGTTACACATGCATTCAGCTATTAAAAGGAAAAGAATGTCAACATTGAAAGTGAAACAAGGATGAATCATTTGGTTGACTGATTCGATCCACAAAAAAATCATTCATATACAGGTAACAACGATGATAAACATACTTTTTAACCTAAAATATGAAATCAAACAGACTAAGAAAAATCCAATTGCACGTGGTCACTATCTGTTTAAATCTATATTATGTTTATATCAGGTTATATGACCGTCGGCAGTCCTCGGAGGTCATCTCGTTGGTTAATTAGATGACGTCTAGACAAAAATACACACGAAATGTTGACATATTATTATCAAATCCTTGTATTGTTAATTGTTTATTTTAGACTTTTTGTAATTTGGATATACGTTTTAGTATGTTATAAATCAAATATGAGAATTTGAGTCAAATCGGTGAACATGAACTTGACAGCTAATGCCCCTTTAAACACTTAAATCATTAGTATTTTGGTACTTTAATATCATTTATAATATTGAAATATAGAAAAAACTACTAACATTGAAAAGGATTTGTCAAAGTAACCAGGAACAAACATGGACAAATCAGACAAATTTGTATTTTTACACCAAACTAAATTAGATGACAGGACCCCTTTATATTGTCTTGGACTGCATTTTGAAACAGAATCATGGTCTATTGCCTAAATTTAATCTTTCTATGCAGTACAATTGACAACAGACATATATCATGTACAAAAATGGCAAAATTACCCAATGGAAAATTCAGTGTGAAATTTAAATCACAACTTATAAAAAGTTCATTTTATTGAGAAATACACATTAAATTATCAGGATTTTTTTTATTGTTTTTTTAATCTGCAAGGAACATTTTGTATGGCAAGAATAATTAACAACTGAAATAAGATTTAAATGAACATTTAAAGAAATCTTTTTAAAAATGACAAAAAGGATATAGTGTATATTCAAAATGAACTGACAAAAATACAAAACATTTCTCGAATGCTACTTACAAAAAGAACAAAATGCAAAATAAAATGGCAGTAAAATCAGCTGTTTATACACACTTGAATTAACAAACATAAAATCTTGTATAATTATACTATGATAAACATATTGGTTGCCATGTGAACATAGTTTCAGCAATACACATTGCTTGATATCATGTATACATCATTTCAGCCATTGTGGACATCTTTTTAGGTATATAAACAAAGTCGTCAAAATAACCTGCCAGTTCATTTACGCTCATATCATCAAGTCTAGCCTGCTGAGAACAACTGACTGGGTCACTGTCACATGAATAGGATTCAGCCCCAGATGTTTTTGAACCACAATGCTTGTAATGTCTATGCCCACTATAATGACCGACTGTTAATTGATTAGATGAACCTTCATCAGATGCACATGAAATGCTGGCAAAATCTTTGACAGTCTGTTTGCTTGCAACAGACCCAAATATTGCATCATTTTTATAAGGACTAGCCTGTGCTAAAGATTTAGTATGCTTTGAGAGATCTTGGTAAAATCGGGGAGTTTCTATTCCTTTATCCAATTTATGAAGTTTTAACCTTGCTGCTCTAATAACCTGGCTACGATCTTTCTCTGAGTGATGTATTTTTAACTTTGATTCCCTGATAATTTGTCTTGGAGACTTGGTTACTTTTGCATAATTAAACTTATTGACTGATTCTGGTTTATCTTTTGAACAACTACACTGGTGTTTCTTACATTTTGCAGACAATGTTAATCTCTGCATAGGAAGCGTAATATCCTGAGGATATGGTTCTGTTCTGGATGTTGACTTTTTATGTTTCATCATTTTTCCTTTATCAGTCTTTCTATCTTCTTTATCCCTGTAATACAATAAACAGCTTATAAATATTTTGTTAAAAAGCAAACCAATCTGACTCAGTATTGACTTCTGCTAAAAGAAACAATGACAAATTTGGTAAAACTCATTTATCAATAACTCCTATAAGACGCTTGACAATTTTCATGTAAATGGATAGTAGGTTTATCTCAACATTCTGAATATTTTTGCTCTTGACAGATTGCCTCAATCTATAGCGGTTTTCAAGACAATAGACAAAACTTGCATTTTAACCCTATGTTCTATTTTTAGTCATGTAGGCCATGTTGGTTGGCATGCTGGGTCATCAGACCATTTTTTTTTTAACTAAATACCCCAATGATGATTCTGGCTAAGTTTGGTTAAATTTGGCCCACTAGTTTCCAAGGAATAGATTTTTGTAAAAGATAAAGGACAATGACACATGCCAAGTGATGGGAAAACCTCACACTGGCCTTTTGGGCCAAATAAACTAAAGAAGAATGGTGCTTTGAAACATCAAAGATATATGTTTAGGGTTCAAAAAATGATGCTGCAATGAAAAGCAGAGCTAATCTCGTACTCAATCAATTCAAGGGATTTATTGTTTGTTTATCCTTTTTTACCATGAAACCGAATGTTACTTTTAATTACTATGTTTAGATGTTATAACACCTAAAAGTTCTTCTGTTGGTGGGTTCAAATATTTTTATTGTTTGTGCAAATAACATTGGATCATGTACAGATCAATTTTTTTTCTTGGTCTAAGACACTACACAAAAGGTCACATACAATACAGTATACAGTATATATATTTTTGGGATATTACTAATGTATTGTTTTGATTGTAAAAATTAGAACCCAAGAATAAAAGTTCTTTCAGAGTGGAATTCAAAAGTTTGCCCTAGGCACACAGGTATTATATTTATATCCTTACGTTCTCCATAATTCCGCTACTGACTGAAATGCCTCCTCTCTTTTTGCTGCCATGTCTTCTCTAAAAAAAGAAGATTTATAGTAAACATAACTTTATAAAAGCAACCAAGATGCCAATGTTCAACTTTTTGATGATGATGCATGCAAGTTTATATTTTGCAATTATATTGTGTTATTTTCATTTCAATCTTCTCAGTTCGCATATTTATAACTAGAAAATTGTACAGATATGTCAAAGTACAATGCTCTGGAGACAATACTTGATATATGAAATCCAAAAAAATATTTCAGATAAAAAAATAAAAATATCAGGGTGCACAACACCAATAAGTACTCAAGATTCCTTGAGAGTTTCATTGTAATCAGGTTAATAGTTGAGGCCTATAAAAAACAAAGGCCTTATGAGTCGGGTAGCAAAAATCTACATGTCTAGACTATTTGAATCTAATCTAAACGATGAACAATATATAATCCATTCCTGTTTGTACTAAAGGACACTAAAAACTTGGTATTAATGGTGTTTCACATTTTCTCTTCAAACTTATTTGTGCCTGTTGTAAGAGAAATAAAGGACTCAAAATATATGCTTTTTCATAAATCCCTTTTCAGAGACTCATTGCAAGTATCATGAATTATATTCCAAAATAATAATTTGAAGGTTATTTCCCTTGTCGGGAAGTAGAACTGCACTGCAGTGAACTACTATTTATACCAGTATAATTCCAAACAAGGGAAATAATTTGTATTAGATTGTGCTATTTTAAAATCAGATTTCTGTTTTCAAAGTGTGTTTCTAGAAAGTCAAATTGTACTTTATATTTGGCGAGAAGGCAATATTATTTTTTAGTTTAGTTTATTTCTGTTAGAATAATTATAATTTTTGAATTAGTATTACTGAATAGAGTAGATATCGTTTATACACTATTTTTAATTGCAAGTAACTTTTACAAACTTTATCACCAAATGTTTTGATTTTTGATAAGATTAATCGTCTGCAACAAGTTGACATGAACTTACAACCTCGGGAGAATTAATTGTCTAAGTTAACGGTTTCCTTAAATTTTATTTATATCATTAATGAGGTCAAGGAGAGTTTAAATCATAGTCTGCATCGCAGTGTGTTGATAAATTACTTTTATTGCTTTTATGGTTAAGATTTAACAATGTTTAATAGCAGCGTAAAATTAGGAATTTATTATCTAGACTGTGGCATTTCTAATTAGTATGATTTTGTTATTCGAAGGAGAAACATTGAAATTGTGTGTTTAAATAATGTGAACAGTTTGTAAATATTAAACATAGTTTAGAGAATATTCGTTTTTGTGAATAGCCAAATTGATTATGGATATAATGCTATTGGTATAACATTGTCGTCGAACTCCAAGTCCCAAACTGTCGAACTTTATGTCGAATTTTATTCCACTGCAATCGTATCTCCGCAACAATATTGTCCCGAGAAATTACGTATGGGTTATATTATATAAATTGACAGAATATAGAATACTTAGGTAAAAATAAAAAAAAATATGTTATAATTTGTTCATCAAATATCTCAACCCTGGCTTAAACATATATTTTTCATTTTCTTTTAATCTTTCTATAACTTTCCCGTCGACAAATGTATATCGTCTCCAGCTGATACATGTAATTCACCTTTTCTGTGTAGTGAGAATTCATTTTGTATTGGTATAAACAATATTTTTCAACTTTTTATTGGTAATAGTACTAATACAGTGTATTCAATTCTCTTTGTCAGACTTTGATAATGGTTTAATGATCTTCCTCCAGAAACATATATCACATCATATATAAATGATAATGTACAGGTTTGATGTCAGCATTCGTTATAAGAGGGGCTTACCAGAAACATTACTGACTGGAATGGAAGTTTGTACAAGTAAGGGGTGGATTCATAAAACCTACTCAGAACTTTCCTTTTATAATGTGTTTAAAAATCAAATAAAGACTATGACAGTTCTTAAAGACTTTTCAAATAATTCATTTCTTTCACTAGTATATATATTGTATCATTTTTAATTTTAGTTTCTTGTGAATAATTTGGAGTTTAGTATGACGTCCATTATCACTGAACTAGTATACATATTTGTTTAGGGGACAGCTGAAGGACGCCTCCGGGTGCGGGAGTTTCTCGCTGCATTGAAGACCCATTGGTGCCCTTCGGCTGTTATCTGCTCTATGGTCGGGTTGTTGTCTCTTTGACACATTCCCCATTTCCATTCTCAATTTCATATATCTGATGTAGTTTTACCTTTTCATTTTGCCAGTTATTAGCCTAAATAAACTTTTTCATGCTTTGTCATGTTGTATGAGTCTTGGGATACAAAATTTATTAGAGAGACATGTACTGTAATTCAAAATTTTTGTGATTTTTTTATTTGTGAAAATTGCAAAATGATACATTTTTCAAAAATATAAAATTGCATCTTAAAATTGCAATAGCATCGTTTGCAGCATTTCCTGAAATCAAAATAATTAATCTTGCATGTTTGTCCATTGTTCAACAGCCCATATAATAAATCATTAATGAATGCAGGAATTTCTGGATTTACAGAATTCAGAAAGTTTCATTACGTGTTTAATTAAGTACCTTTTCATATGAGGGTCCACTTTCAAGCGTTTAAATGCTGAATTCAAACGTAAACTACTGTTGCTTTTTTCAAGGGATTGTTTTTCACCTCCCATGTCCTAAAAAATAAGGCCCTGAAAAAAAAAAATTAATATAATAATTCATTCTTCAAATAGTACAAACACAAATAAAAGGAGATTTAGAGTAAATATCAAAAATAGCATGTGTCCATAGGACACCATGCCCCATTAGCACTACATGTATCGCATTTCCATATTCAGTGACAATGAACCACAAATTCCTGGTCAAAACCCTATCTTGGTACATATTTTCAAAGTCGCATCATACTGAACATTTGTACTAAGTTTCAAGTTGATGTGACCACCAACTAAATGGTAAACTACATTTTACCTTAAACCAAAACTTTTAACTATGAAATCTGGGTTGAAACACTAAATTTGGCATACATTTTAAAAGGTTCAAATCATTGATAGCTAAATTTGAATTTGAAGTGACCACAATTTCATGGTTTAATAACTACCTTAAAACAAAAGTTTAGCCTGCTACAGGACAGACAGAAACCATTATACCCTCTACTGTATTACAGGCAGGGCATAATGATAAATAAATCCAGCAATCATGACAATACAACAAAACGAAAATTAGTATGCATTTTCCATATACTTATAAACTTGATAAAACTGCACAAAATATTAATATATACATATATATATTTGGTTGTATTTTGCTCTTTTTAACATGATTTTCTTTTCTATATTATCTTGTCTTCGAAAAGTTTAGCTGTTTAGAATAAGATATTAAATGTTAAGGTATTCCTACTTTAAAAATACTCAAATATAGCCTGATTGTTGGTTAATTAACTGTCTTTCTTTCTTTTTAGGTTTTTATCTTTACAGATACACTTAATGATCACATGTATTACATAAATATATTTAAGTTCACTTTTCACAATACACATATAACATCTAAATGCATTGTGAAAAGTCACTTGTTTACCATGTACAGTAGGTTGTAAAGATAACAGAAAAACTGAAGAATTCTAGTGGCTGAAACATCTTAAAATCATTTAATAACTACAATAATACGGAACACATATATGAGTTATTGTAGCTAATGAAAACAAAGAAATTCTGTTGAAATTGCTTAATTATCATAAGAATTATTAGATTCAATAACTGCATTGTAGTTATAATACTTTAAATCTTAAATGATTGAAAAAGGTATGATAAATTAAACAATAACACCTCTAAGAAGTGCAGAAATAACCATCATTTGATTCCAAAATTTAACCAGGTGCCAATACATGTATCACTTGTTACCTAATCATCAGAGGCTAAAGATTCGAGAATAGCAATCTAAACTGTAAGTGATTTTACATTTTTCCTATTATTTTTTTAATAAAATAAATCAAATGGGGAATGTTTCCATGGGACACAGATGATGCCGCAGCTTGCATACGTTATAAAGGGACATAACTCAAGAACGGTAAAAGTGATGCTACAAAATTAGTACTTGATCTGAGTTCTGTGGTAATAAGCATTGTGTATAAGTTTCATAAAATTTGGTTGATGCAAACTTGTAAGAGAACAGATGCGAAAAATTCAGCAATATTTTCAATTTGTAAAGGGGCATAACTCTAGAATGGTAAAAGTGACGCCACTAAAATTCAAACTTGATCTGTGTTTTGTGAAAATAAGCATTGTGTATAAGTTTCATAACATTTGGTTGAGGCAAACTAAAGTTAGAGAACGGAAACCAATTTCGGGATGTACGGATGTATGGACGTACGGATGGACAAGGGTAAAACTTAATGCCCCCTCCGCTACAGCTGGGGCATAATTAAGATGACAAAGGATATAAGGATACTGAATACACCTATCTCAAGTTCAGGGATTTCTCTCAATATTTGCAAACCAATCTCTTTTGGTATCCAGTCCGTTCACACCCTACATGTTCACCCCCCACATGTTCGCACCCTGGGTCCGTTCCCATACTATTTCTATTTAATTACCGGTAGAATAATTAGATGTTTTTAGATGTATAAATCAAAATATTTATATTTTCATGAATACAAATGCGAGAATTTTTTAATGAAAAATTTTTTTGGGGGTGATTTGATGATTAATTATTAAATGTTGATTATGTATTATTACTGTTAATTGGCATTTACAAAGCCAAATATGGTATTACTGTTCTGTGTTTGAAAATCATGATTGTTATATTAAATATAACTAGCTTTGTGTAATTGTATGCATAAGGTGAGACGTAAAATAAAATATTGAGTTGAGCTTTGATATAAATACTTTATGTACATGTAGTTAGCTTGGTATGAGTAAAAACAATGAAAATTTTAAAGGAGAAATATGAAAGATAATTGTCCCAGTGGAACAACGCTTTCTTGCCCCCAAACAGTAGCAGATAAAGAGAACAGCCAACAAATTTGTTGTTCTCGTAGCAATGTTATTGTGACGAGTTTAATAGCCATTTGGTATCATCCGCCTTTCTTTCACAAGTCTTATATAAATGAGCTTTGTCTTGATCAACATGACAATTTTTTATTCATTATTCATTTCTTCAAAATAATTACTAAAACACTAAAGGAAACCTGTTTACGTTTTTAAAATATCACTTTTATTTTGAAATAATAAAAAAAAAACTTATTTGTAGCAAAACACTATAGATTTAGTTTAGAATTAGAGACAGTTAGGCATGGATAATAAGGATTGTAACAATAGAACTGTTAACATACATGTACATTTGTGAATATCTTTGACCCCTCAACAAAAAAGTCTGTATTATTCTATAAAATTCCGTTTTTCTTACAGGTTAATATTCACTGAAATAAACTGTCATCCGCGCTGTTACGTTTATAGCTTATTAATTGTCCGAAATTTGGGAAACTTCGTGGGTATGAAGGTACAATGATTCATTAATATTTCTATGACAATTTCATCACATTCAGTGATTCACATTTGTCGATTTGACTTTGGTTTGTTTACTTTTTTTAGGACCCCATAAGTTGTCAAATTTATCCATTGCGGCGACATGCTCATTTTTTAACATGATGTTAAAAGTTTAAAATACGCTTACCCAACCCAACGCGATTTAGTTTAGAATTACTTCCACTGGTATTTTTACATTATTTCCGTTTCAACCTACAAACATGATAAGGAAATTTCCATCGTCGCCATATTGCTCCAAATGTTTACGTCATAAGCATGTTTATAAACAAATTCTATAACTAACGGAAAAATATAATGCATTTTTATATTTTGATATTAAATGTGTTAAATACATTTTTTTTTATGTTTATTGTTTTTTATAAAATTTAAAGTTATTTTAATTTAATCTACAGCAGATATTGATGACGTTAAACACAAGCGACGTCAGCATGAACCCATGATACGTGTTACAGATGAAGAAAAGTGCCATAAGTTTCACAGATTAACCATATTTAAGCTTTAATTTGACCAAACAGTAATTTATTTCTTATTAGCACAATGGAGTTACTCGAGATAGTATCGCCAAATGTTGCTTTTCCTGTTGTAGGCGTTCTTTTATGTGCTTTTCTGGTGTTTGCTTTTGGGTTCAAGTCACCAGCTCAGCCACCAAGCTTTAGTTACCTGGAAGATGACAGCAAGAAAAAGAAATCAAAGAAGCATAAGGTATTCTTGAAATTAATTGCACTTTTTGGTAAGCATATATTTGTGTGTCTTGTTGGATAACACTCTCCCTTTGTACACACAAATAGGGATATGGTTATACTTTACCTGTAGGATACCTGTATGATTGTTGGACTTGTAGGAAAAGATTCTATCCCTTTAAGTCCACCATATTTTGGTTAACTTTTAGAAACTATTACAGACATCAATCTTGCATGGTCTGATGCAATATTTTGCAACAATTAAAAATATAGAAATGAACTTATTTGTGTCCATATCAGTCACATTGATACTCCCAATGGCGGTCTATATTAATTTTAAATACTTCAATGGTTTTTAAAGCAATTACTTCAACTTTTAAATTATTCCAATTGTTTATCATAATCATGCATTATGGAAATTGTTTGAAAGGAAATGTGTCGCATCTAGGCTTCTAGAAAATACAACATTTGTCTTGATAATGATAGTGATAACAATAAAAAACATTGTTTGAGCATGGAAGTATTATTGAAAGGAATAACAACGTCGTCACTTCAAAGGTTTCATCTGCGTTACCGCCCATCTTTCGATAACTCGTTAATTGGTTTAATATATGGCATGCTAATTGACGAACGGCATGTGATAGATCAAATCACTGACACTTTTCGGTCATTTTCGTGTTCCTGGAATTTTACGAATAGACCGGTTGTTGTCGTATATACGTTCGAAGTAACCCGAATAGTTCACTCGTTACATTCCGCTGCTGTACGCTACCGAATAGAGTCAGTCGTTCAATGTTGATTTAGTCTATTTTCCCTATTTATGTCTTTTTCGATCTTAATAGTTTAGGCCGACAGTTATCACATATGGAATTTAAGAAAAAGGGTGGATCATTTTCAATTTTAATATCTAAAACCAGTTAATTAAGAAGCCATTTCTGAAAGATTGTACAAAAAATATGTTTCGACCCCTTTTATTAAATACGAACAAATCCAAGTCGTTCGTGTATACCAGGCAATTTACATATTCACAATTTTAAACGTTACTATTCTTTAATTTGTACATAAACTAATTCATATAAAATAGATTTGCGGTTAGACAGATAGCGTCAAGCTCATTTTGTTTGGTTGATTTTCTTTTTGCTGTAACGTGCTACATTAATATTAGTATTCAATTGTAAACACTTTTTTAAAACATATAAATTTAACATGTTTACGAACTTATCATCCCGATTTTAGTTGTCCAGTTTCAATAATGTAATCAATTACTTGAAAGTAAATATTTTTATAAATCTCGATAAACTTGGCACATTTTAACAGTACAATATTCTATGTCTACATTTGTCTACATTATTTTGTTCAACATCATGTGAAACCTGATCGCTTCATCGTTATTACCTGTTTTACTCATGATCCGCTTTTAACCGGAAAACACTTTTAAATCAGTTTAAAACAAACAGTGAAAAGCAAAAATATGCAAAAATAAATATAATTGTCCATGTTGAACTGTTGTAGTTTAAACAATTCTAGTCCGTTTTTCAAGTTTTTTACATCATTCGATTTCTTTTTGAAGGTAGAAGTTTTATATGATACAGCGCCACTTTGTTATTAATAAACTAGGGATTTCCCACAGGTGATTTATAATTACCGGACTCGATAAAATCACGTGACTGATAAGAAATTCCAGATGCCATTTACAACCGCGGTATCACAGATAGTAACCAAAGGGGTCTTGCCGCTGAGACTATAATTGGATAAAATCATATGACTTTAGTACAGAGCTCTGCATGCCATAAATACATGCTAATTAGTCGTTGTTATTCCTTTTAAATATTACTTCCATGGTTTGAGGTACATTGTTTATCTTCAAATCCTTTTATGATTTTAAAAGCTTGTATCATATCACCACTACACCTTTTTCTCTCATATGCTATTTTAGATATTGTCTTAAAAGTACTGCAGCATAGTGTTTTACATTGTAGATAAAATATTTATTAAGCTAAATGACAGAAACTCCTCTATAGTAAGCATTTTATAGAAATGTCCTACATGTATGTTAAAAAGTGGGCAAAACTAAATCGAACAAACAGTGTCTGTTCATTAACATGAAAACCCTTTGACAAAATTTTTTTCAAATTTAGGTATGTTGTTTCCTGTGACTAAATGAAGGTCAAGTTCAATTTTCACGAATTTAGCTTTTCTCGTTGTTGAGTTGTAGCCCTTTTCAGTAGCCAAAAGTAATACTTATTATATGATTGAGTTACTTCTCTTTGAACAGAAATTGTGATTTGCAAATATCATTTACATCAGATAATAATCTGTTTTTATTAAAAGATATATTTCATTACATTACTTTGTGTAGATAAAATTGTTGACATTGATAGATAAGTTGCAGATCTACATGTATATCAGTTTGTGACAAATGAAAGAAAAAATATTGGGAACTATTAATTATATATATAAAGTTTGATTACACTAAGTGTTTTTAAATAATTTTTACCTGTTATCAGATAATAAAGCATCTGGTAAATATCTTATCACACAATTATAATTGGAGTGACAGATTTATTTGAAAATTTTCTGTTTCCTAAGTGTTGATGATAAGATCTGTAGGACTGTATAAATAAAGTTTGAAATTTACTGTTCATTATTAGACATTTTGAAGATAATTACAGATAAGTTTATAGATTTTTAATAGATATTGTATTAATGATAAATGACATTTTAGATTTTTTTTCTTCTTTTCTTTGGTAAATTGTTTGAAGAATTTTGTGGTAGGTTTGTTTTGTTATTCTGTATAAACTTATTTTCTGAATGCTTTATATTTTTTTGGTGAAGCGAACTCCTTTAAAAACTAAGCTTAGTTTGTCTATTCATAAACATATATTTAGATTTCTGATTTTGGGCCCAGTTTTCAAGTTGGTCCAAATCAGGGTCCAAAACTATACTGTGTTTGATTTCAACATAAATTGAATATATATAGGGTTCTTTGAAATTCTGAATCTAAACCTGTATTTATTTTCATTATTAATTAGATAATACCATATTGAGGTCCAAAGGGTCCTAAATTAAACTTTTGTTTGATTTCATCAAAAATTGAATTCTTGGGGTTCTTTGATATGCTGATTCTAACAATGTACTTAGATTTTGGGTATTGGACCACAATAGGAAAATGTCAAATTTCAAATTTTCCAGTTCTTTGACCACATTTATTATGTGTCACAAACCTATGCTGTGTCAAATATTCAATCACAATCCAAATTCAGAGCTGTTTTAAACTTAAATGTTGTGTCCATACTTGCTCAACTGTTCAGGGTTCGACCTCTGCAGGAAAATCTGGTTTGCTGTCACTCTGACAGCCTCTTGTTTAATTTTAAGAATTGTATATAGATTAACAATTGCAAAACAGCTGTACATTTTTTGTATTCAAGTGTTTTAATTTTTGTGAAATAAATATATAATCAAATTAAATAAAAGAAGGTAATGGCAATAAAGTATAACTAGCAAAGAGTCTAAGAGGCAGTTCTAAATATTTGAACAATATGCACACATTGTAATTTGTATGCACTGGCATCATTTGCATATGTATGTTTCAAATATGATAAGTGCCTATAATTATAGCAACACATAACATACATATCTATTTGACTGTGGATTAATCAGTACAAAGATTAATACAATTACACAAATAAAATTATAAATTGGCTAACAATGTATTTTTAACGCACTATTTAGTATGTAAATATTAAAATGTTAAAAATATTTACAATGCGATAAAAAATAAACGCAATATTTCTCTAGACAAACTAGCTTCATCAAGCGTGCATCTATCCAGGTGATAATATGTATATTTTTTTTAAGTAGAAATGAATTATATTTTTAGGATTTGCAGGGGACACAATAGCTTCAGAATTAAGAAATTTATATAATATGTTAATACATATATCTATATACATGATATATAAATTAAGTTATTAACTTTTCCTTTTGTTTCTAGCAAACTAAAAGTCAGACCAATGGTCATGCTGTAACTGAACCAGAGTCCCAACCAATCAAGACTGAATCTTCTCCAAAGCAAAAGAAACAGACCACACCAAAGCCAGTCAAACCAACCAAACAAGAACCTATTAAAAAGGTATTTTATGTAATCATTGAAAAAGAACAAATTCTGAATTTTGCTAATTGTGTAAATATACTAGCACCTAAATATAAATTATATTGATCAATATCCCTTTACCTGTAGTGTAAGAAAGCAGTGTCTTGTGTGTATCAGTGCATTGTTCAATTAGGTTGTAAAACATTAAGACAGCCTATGATAGATTTTTGACTAAGGTGGTTTACCATCAAGTTGGGATCACATCATTTTGAAACTTGGTTCATGTACACTTGTACGTTATGATGTGAACTTTTAAAAATTAGATGCCAAGCCAAATTAAGGCTTTGACCCTGATTTCATGGTTGAATGAATATTGAAATATTGGAAAATTGCAATAAGTAATTTGTACTTTGCAGCTTATTTGTAATAAAGTATAATATCATAGTATTAACAGTGTTGATACATAAATAGTTTTATATAATTGGATGTTTCTTTTGCAGAAGAAAGCTTTGAAGGAGCCTGGGGAAGAAAAGCCAAATATTAAGAATGAACCTGTTCATGATGATACAGGTAATAATTCACAATATTTACTAAAACTATGAGAATGCAGAATTTTTAATATGAGAGGATGTGAGCACACACCTTATGATTTTTATGAAAGAAAGAAGAATGTTGAGAAAATACCATTTCATCACAAATTGCAACAACAACTTACAATTACTGGTAATATGAGAAAGCTATTTAAAGAAAAATTGTATACCTGAGATACAAAAAGTAGCATGGATTTGTACAGGCTCAAAAAACTGCTTTAAACAAACTTTATTGATAGGTAGGTCAGTCAGGGGTACTACTTGTACAAGTTATTAGTCCCCTACAAACGAAGTCGAAAGGGACTTTAGGTTTGCACTCCGTCCATCGGTCCATCTGTCAGTCCGTCAAATCAGTTTTCCACACTTTTTTCTTCATACTTGAAGATATTGACTTGTTATTTGTTATTGTTTTATCATGACAAGTTACAGATCAAGTTCAAATTTTGTTCCGGTCTGATGATTTTGTGCAGAGTTATGGTCCTTTGACTTAGAAAAATCACTCAAATAAGTTTTCCGCACTTTTTTTCGTCATGCTTGAAGATATTGATTTGAAAATTGGTTATAGTTTTATCATGACAAGTTACAGATCATGTTCGAATTTTGTTCCGGTCTGATGATTTTTGTGCAGAGTTATGGTCCTTGGACTTAAAAAATTCACTCAAATAATAAGTTTCCCGCATTTTTTTCGTCACGCTTGAAGATATTGATTTGAAAATTGGTATATAGTTTTATCATGACAAGTTACAGATCAAGTTCGAATTTTGTTCCGGTTACTCAAATAATCAGTTTTCAACACTTTTTTTCGTCATGCTTGAAGATATTGACTTGATATTTGTTATATAGTTTACACCATGACAAGTTATAGATCAAGTTAGAATTTTGTTCCAATGCAATGAATTTTTAACCGGTAGGGGACTATATATTGCCATGCGATACTCACAGAATACTTGTTTTTGTTTACTTGAAGAAGTAAATAATAATATACATATATAAGTAAATTTGTTAGATACTTATACAAGTTTATTTTATTTACTTGTATAGGTAAATTATTTTGATGGCTTAGTTATGTCCCTTAGACATTTAGATTTTTTACTTATACAAGTAAAAAAGTCATACTATCTTCTTTTCTTGAATTTCTCAGGACTTCTTTGCTCTAATAGAATTTTAAATTGTCTGTCCTTTGCAGATGTCTTTACTAATCATTTAAGTGTAATTTCATGGACAATGCAGTGTTCTCCCCAGGATTTTTGGATAGCACCAGGGTAATGCGTGTGGACTGCTTGGTGAAATGATTCATACAATCAGTTGTGTCGCGTCGCGTCACTTAGCTATATTTCTAGTAACTGTAGTTTTTATGTCTCCTGTTTTGTTTAATGCTGTGGTACTGTGTTATGTAGACATTGAAAATTATTGGTAAAAAAGAAGTAAATCAATAAACAGTTTGACATGTATACTTTAATATTTTTTGAAAACAAATAAAACATGATACATTACAAAATATTCATCTACATTTAAAGTTATTAAATCTTTTATAAAATCAATGATAAATAAGAAAAAAATATCATTCAAAAGAGAACAAAAATGTTCAATTTAAAAAACTTTCTTATTTCTAGAATGAAAGATGTTGTATTGTGAAAGGATTCCTGTCATAAGGAGATATAAAAATAACAAGAATAAATATTGTATTATTATTTGAACCAGTTTCTATCTTAAAATTTAATAAACAGAAATTTTTCATAAATTTCAAAACATTTTGCCTTAGATTTCATGCAAATATTAACTTTTCTTGTCTTTAGTGATAATCAAACATAGATACAGACTTAATACTGCACTGAAATCTAAATCTTTTTTTGTCATGATCCATTTAAAAAGAATTCCTAAATCTATAAATTTATCCTAGTTCTATAGATCTATAAGTAACCCTATTCAATGTCAACAACTAAGTCTCCCTATTTTCCCGCCTAAATGACAGGAAGTAGATATAAATAGATTTAACATGTGCTTATGGATAAAATTTGCAAATCACTTCTGTTATTCATTAATTATCATATGGATATAGATATCCAGTTTGAAGGTACAGTCATGCATTTTATTTATAAAATAGAATAGATTGCAGTTAATTGTAAATAATCTTGGGTATTCTATGTGAACTAACTGGGTCATGTGATCTGTCCCCTTTGAATTACTTGTTGACAGATACTATGATAACTAGTTTGAAACCGGAATATCATGCAATATAAACTATGTCAAAATTAAAGATAATTTGGCCATGGTTTAATCAGAGACATATAATACTATTATATAAGTATTGAGAAGTGTATAATGGTCAATTATACGTAATGAGCCAACTTTATAATGTACAAAATGTGTACCGTCGTGCGTACAACTATCGGTCAACACGGTTTGTGTACAAAGTATTTGCCGACTTGTCAGGTGGTGAGTGAAGCCATAAAATAGATATCTACTATCATAAAGTTATGATCTCTTAATTAAAACACAAAAGAATCATTTTACAAGTGTTAATTACATCGATTAAATCCAATCAACAAAGGTTAACCTCATAAAGGTAAATCGATCACGTGGTGTAAACACTCTGAACTGGTTTGAACTTGTCAAATTTCACCTGGAATTTTATACCGCACGGAAAAGATTTAACAAGTCGTTTAAAACTTTACCGATTTTCGATTTTTTAAACTAAAAATTTTAGCACCACGGAGAAATATTATACATCGCGGTAAGAACGATACCACCACGGTAAAAAAATATACATCGCGGGCCCGCGGTCCTTTCAGGCCCTGTGGAGAACACTGCAATGAAAATCTCATTTGTCTGTTATCTTCAAACTACTGCTCATTTACAAGCCTCCAATGGGCAATTTTTGAAGGCCTTGCACAATTCCTTAAGACCTTTGCGCAATTAGTTTCTTTGTTGAATTAATGAGATGAACCGTTGAACTCTAATAAAAAATTATGTGCTAACCAGAGAAAAATTGTTTTTAGATCCCAAAACTTGAGAATTTTAGGGATTGTAAAAAAAATACTTATACAAGTAATTTTTTTTTTGAAAAATTAAGGGGAGATTATTCAAACCTTATAAGAAAATATGGACATAACAAATTTATTTATATAAGTATATTTTTATTTACTTCTTCAATTAGTACCCCTGACATTATATTTTGATAATAAGTTGGTTCAGTTTTTGATACATCAGTGAAATTATTTTGCTGTTTTTAATATATGCAGATGGATGGACAACCTTGGTGAAAGGAGGAAAAAAAAAAGGAAAGAAAACAGAAACTGTTGAGGAAAAGGTGACTGCAGACAAGATTGTTGTTGAGAAGGTTAAAGAAGTAACTGCTGCTGTTGTATCTGATGAACCCCCACAAGAGCAAAGGAACAAAAAGAAACAGAAGAAAAAGGCAGGAAAGGTAAATTTACAAATATTTACAAACAATAAAAACATATACAGAAAACAGCAAGAACTCTGAACTCTGAACATTGCATTTTTTTGCTAAGTGTCTGAACGAGTTGGAGTATACTTTGAATGCCATCACGTGCACATTCTTGCTTGTTCTGGTCCTGAATAAGCAGGAAATGTTTGCAACTGTATGCTAAGAGAACATCAATCAATCAATTAGATACACAGAGAACAGTTCAAGTCAATACATCAGGTGAATCCTTTAACAAACAAAAGATATACTGTGGATCCAAATAGTAAGGACATGTAACAGCAAACACATTTACTGTGAAAGTACTTTTATTCGTGGGTATTAATTTGTGTAGTTTGAGCAAAAGTTACATTTTTGTGGGTTCTTGAATAAAATTCATTCTTATGAAATAAAAAAGCAAGCCTAATATGACATTTTTAAAAAAATGTTGTATGAGAATTATGAGGAGGTTAAATGAACACTTCATCATCGCATATCATCACATGAAGTCTGACTTTTATCGATCAAACTAATTTTTCATGAGAAAGTCCTACAGAATAGGTTTTTTGAAAGATTAAATGGATAAAATCCCATCTGACGTTGTATATTTAGTCCATAGTGCGTTTGCTGATATTCAATGTATTCTCTAGATTATATGCATGTATCTATATAGTCAAACCTACTTGGGGATCTTTCCATGTCTTGATTTGGACAACAGTTGTTATATTTCATTGGACACTTAAATTAATGGATAAAGCCATCCACAAAAACACCGAAAATTGGTAACCTACGAATAAAAGTACTTTCACAGTACCTCAAACTGAATTATGATGTTAGAATTCTTACATGAATAGAAAATAAAAAGAACAGAGGAAGGATACATTTTCACATTCACAGTCACAAATTTCTTAGAGATTTAAGAGAAAACGCAATGACAACACATATTTAAAGTATTTATTTCATATAAACTAAGTTGAACTATTAGCTTTAATCAAATAAAGTTATTCTCTACAAATTCCATCACATGTTTCAGGAAGCAGATGATGTTGATGTTAAAGTAGAGTCCAGCAAACCTCCAGTTGAACCAGTCAAAGTTCCTGAACCAAAACAGGTAAACAGACATATTTTTTTGTGCTTCTTATCATGTCACCAGTTTAATGCTTTGAAAATACTTCATAATAAGGTTTAAGTCTGTAATCTGAATAGGGAAATATTGTATGTACACATGTATAAATTGTTAGTTGCATCATCACACAAGCTAGTACAACAATGGATGTTCACAGATGACTATATCCTTTGATTAGGATGCAGGGGTTACATACACCTTATTGCTATTTGTCCGCAATTTGTGGACATCACAAAGGTTACCATAAAATTTTGACGTCACAATAGAAAATATCTGACGCCACAATATAGAAAAGTGATTGTTGTATGACGTCAATAATTCAAGCTGCGCAGATTCTCGGGTCAAGAAGGGTAAAATTACCGATTAACGCCTCCTAATGAATGGCCTGAGGATGTGGGAAAATGGCAGTCTCCCGGGGAGGAGGAAATATAGGGCACTGCATTTTTATGCAACTCTGATGATAAAAAGGGGCATTATGTTTTTTTGGTTGGTTTAAGGTTGTTTACCATGAAGTTAAAACTATTGAAGTACACATGTGCATTATGATTTTAAATTTTAGAAATATAAGCAAAATTAGGGTTTTGACAGATTTTGTGATTGACTGAACAAGGAATGAGTGGGGCATGGTATCTATAGACATCATGGACATATATTATTGTTTTCCTGACTATATTTGTGCTGTCATTAGCTTGATTCTTAGACTGAATGATGAACATAAAAAGTAAATAACCTTTTGAAATTTAATATTTCTCTTCACAAGTGTATGATTTTTATTTTTTTCGAATCAAGACTTGTATAAGGATTATTTAGTAAATCTATTTTTAAGGCATCATATCACAGGATTATAAACTAGTAATTAAGATAAGAGAAATAATGCAGACCTGCCAACTATCCTGATTTATGGGGGGTATCCCCAATGAGAGGTGTTGACCTGAATTTTGAAAATCTTTATTATATAGACTGAACACATAAAAACAGGCATTCAAATGAGTTAAAAGGGTATTTAAACACATACATACCCATCCAAACAATATACAATTGATCAAAAACACTTATAACATTATAAGAGGAGCATTAGCTCCTCTTGCGCTTAAAATCCCCCAATGGAGATTTTGAAAAGTTGGCAGGTATGATAATGCATGAAAGAAATCTGAGATAAATATTGCTTTTAGATGTCTTCACAAACAAATAAGATGTCCTTAATTGTTATATTGATTTTTTACATTCATTTTACAGGATGAAGGCAAATTTGAAGAAGCATCTAGCAAGAAAACAAAATCCAAAAAGAAAGCTGAAAATAAAGTAACTGATAGTCAGAAGGAAGAAGTGAAAGTTGAAGCTAAGAAAACTGAAGGTAAAGCTAAAAATGAACCTAAAGTTCAGACAGAAGCAAAAGCCAAAACTGAACCTAAGGTTCAAACAGATACCAAACCAAAAAAACCAGTAGAGACTAAAACAGAAGCCAAACAAGATGTGAAACCTAAGGATGTAAAGCAAGATGCTAACCCAAAGGAAACCAAGAAAGAAGTTAAACCTAAGGAGGCCAAACAAGATGTTAAGTCAAAGGAAGCCAAGCAAGATGTTAAACCTAAAGAGGTCAAACAAGATGTTAAGTCAAAGGAAGCCAAGCAAGATGTTAAACCTAAAGAGGTCAAACAAGAAGCCAAACCAAAAGAGGCCAAGCAAGATGTTAAACCAAAAGAGGCCAAGCAAGAAGCTAAACCAAAAGAAACAAAGACAGATAAACAAAAAGAAGGAAAGAAACAAGAAGCTGTCAAACCTAAAGAAGACAAAAGTGAAGCAAAGACAAAGAAACAGAAGAATGAATCTAAACCAGAGGAAGTTAAACCAAAGGAAAAGACTACTGAACCAAAGAAAGGAAAAAAGGCTGCTGAGGTATTGTAAAGATCGAATCTGTATTTCAGTGATAGTTTTAGATTTCAATCAGTAATATGCAGTATGCAAAATACCTTTACCAAGTGTTGTCTCACAAGAATAAATGAAAATAACAGCTTCAGCAAATAATAATGATAGTATTTGAAAGCAATTCTATAAGTAACTGGCACTATAAATACATGTATATTAACTGTTTTGTAAAATGGTTTTGAGCACACAATAACGTGTGTGTAATAAAAGGTTGCTAACATTCTAGGTCAATCATGTGTATCAATGCAAACAAATACACAACGATAGTGAAATTTGCACGTAAGCACTAATTCATCAGTCCTGACACAAATTTAGGGAAATAAAGCAGGTAAATAGCAGTTACTAATGAAATGGTGAGATTAACAACAAGTTTAATAATGATATAGGTCATAAGAATGCCTCAAGTATATATAGGAATTTTCAGGATAAAGTATTAAGATATATTCAGTAATAAAAAAACATCCTCATGTTTGGACAATCAGTAGAATATCTTATAACATGTTGACCTTTCTTCGGTTTTTAAGGGGATTTTAATGATTAATCTATTTCAGAAAAGTGAAGCAAAAGCGGAGACCAAACCAATTACACCTGACCAACCTGCAAAAGGTACTAATGATTTTGTACTCATACATCCCCAAGGTATAAATTTATGTTTAGTGGTAGATATTTTCCGTCTTGTGTTTCTATGATCATGTTGATAAGGAGGATACAATCAGCTAAACCATCTGTTTATGCTTAATCCATACAAAATGATACAAAATTTTAAACCTTTTCCTGTTTTTTAAATTTTACAAACATAACATAATCTTTTTAAAAATATAATTTATTTCTATTAAATGGCTGTCAGCAGAGAAAGGCAGGCATGCTTACCAAGAGAAGAAAAAAACAAGTCTGTCCACTTAAACAGAAAATTAAGCAGCTTTAGACTAAAGGGCAGAAAATTCTTCAAATGTTTTTTCATTCCTGTATTTGATAAAAAAAGGATTGATTTTCAGGCTTATTGTAGTAATCTTCTCTTCACCTTAACCTAAATTTATGTTTTGGTTTATTCAGTACCCCTAAATTCTACATTAAAATATCTAGTGCCAATGTCATTTTAGGAAAAATCCATGATATTACACAGGCAAATTTTGTTCACGTAAATTTCACGTGAGTCTCATTTCACGTGAAATTCACGTAAAATTCACGTGAGTTTCACATGAATTTCACGTGAATTTTTGCTCATGTGAATATCACGTGAATTTTTAATGTGAATTTCACGTGAACAGTTTTCACGTGAAATTCACATGAAATTCACGTGAAACTCACATGATCTGACTTACGTGAATTTAACGTGAACTTGTTAACGTGAAACTCATGTGAAATTCATGTGAATTTCACATAAACTTTTTTTCACGTGAAATTCACGTGATCTCACTCACATGAAATTCACATGATTTGACTCACGTGAATTTCACATGATCTGACTAACGTGAAATTCACATGAAATTCATTTGATCTGACTGAGGCTAATTTTTTATATAATGTGCTTACGTGGTTGGTTTTGCACAAGAAAAAATCACTGTTTAAAATAATTAAGTGTGTGCACTGATTATTGCCATTTTGACATAATCGCCAAAATGTAAAAATAATTATTGAAGAAGAATTAGAATGAGAATATAGATATTTTATTTGTTTGAAATACAAAAATTAACAAATTCTAACAAAATTTCACAATAAACATTTTAAAAACATACTCAGGAGAACATTTTTACTAGCACTTTAATATAATTTACATAAAAGGGGGACATATAACCATCAAATGATTAATATTTATCTTTTTATTTCGCATGAATTATCTCCCTTGGATTAGATGCAACTACAAAAAGATCAGTGTTGGTTTTGAGTTGTATTTTCTGTCACTGTTTATATTAATCTCTAGTAGAGCAATAAGGGTAGAATTTGTATCTTTGATTTCAAATTCCTAGATACCTAGATTATATTGATGGGCTAATATTGATTTATCAGTATATTTCTATTATTATTTATCAGTAAACTTAATTTCTTTCACACATTGAAAGTTTTCTTTGTTTTTGTCCTCTTATAAAATATGGGAGGTAAATCCAGCTTATGAAATAGATTCCTGTTACAGTAATTAAGATCCTTTACTTTCCATAATTGCAAAGAAAAAAAATGATAATGAATATGAATTGAATATCAGTTACTTCAAAACCTGAGTTATCTCCCTTTTTTGCTGTGTATTAAACTTTTCCTCAAACTTATAAGTCAAGTACAATTTTGAGCTTTGAACCACACATTAGTTTAACAATAGGACATATGAATAAAAATATGTAAGTGTGCTGAAAAGAATTTTATTGGGCCAAATGTTGTCAATAAATGTAAAATTGAATGTTTATCAAAGTATATATATTGGAAGTGCAGTATATTTTTAAAACTGCTTTGCTTTCAGAAATATGAAAAATGTTTGATTTAATGAGTATTACAAAAGCAGTAAATGCTAACTACTCCCTCATTAAAAAAAAAGGAAGAAAAAAGAAAATATCTTCTCTCAGGGATTGCATGTGTATCAACTGGATTGCAATTTATGTGTTGGTACACTTCAAAATATTTTATAAACCTTTTTATAATAATCAAGATTTCTCAATTTTTCCTTTTGAGTTAATGAGTTGTCAGGGTTTGTCAATCAATGGGAAAAATTTTAAACTAAATATTAATTTTATAATTTCAGTATAGTAACCAGGTAGGGATTTATTCTAATTTTATGTTGTGTTTTTTTTACATTGAGTCTATGGGAGTAACATTCTGACTTAACAGTGCTTAATGAAAAATGACAAAAAAATCTGTAGGGTAGGCTATTATTAAGACTAAAAAGTAGGGTAGTTAGGGTAACGGTGAGTGGAACCACACATATATCATAGGCGAATCCAGGGGGCTCTGCCACCCCCCCCCCCCCCCCCCCCCCCCCTTTTTTTTGTGGGGAAAATTTTGGTTGATTATATAGGGAATCACTGAAGCATGACTGGAGCAGCCCCCCCTTAGGTCAGTTAGTGCCCCCCACCCTATGAAAAGTTCTGGATCCGCCAATGTATATTATTATTTGGCTTATTAATAAGTATGTTTTAAGAAGATAATTAAAGATTGTCTGAAATAATTTGTTAATGTATAGGGAAAGGTTGGTTAAATTTACAACTTTGATAGATCTGATATTATTTATTAAAAAAAAACTACAGTCTTGAAATATGTAAAACCAGGAATTTTACACCTAAAAATGCTGTATAATTTTCAAATATTTTTAATTATCTTTTAAAATTTATAGATAATAAACATATTTAAAGTCCTATATAGTGTCCCAGGCAAATGCATAAATGTGCTATGTATGTTATCGAAAATTATTGATTGACATTAAATTATTACCAGAGGCATATATACTAAATAATGTCTCTAATATTATTTAGCTGTAATAAATGTGAGGGTATGATTGCCAATTAGACAGGCTGTTAATTGGATTAAACATATATATTCTTCAACTAAATGAAATAACTTCATTGAAATTATATCAAACAATATAGTTTATATTATATTAAAATATACCAAATAGTTTAAAGGGTCAAACTTTATGCTCTACTAAAGGGGTGCTCCTATGTAAAGGATGCTTATAAACAAAAGAATTTGTTATTTGTTCATTTATATGTCTTACTTAGTCAGGACTTTAAGCAGTAAATATCATTTTAAAACTGAATTGAGTCAGTAAATTCGGGAAGCTGATTATGCTAAGAAATATTGGATATTGGTCTATTGAATGGGGAAACCAGCATGTACCTATTTGCACATGGATAACTATTCTTCGTGACTATATCCGGGACCGGAGATCGGTTTTTAAAACGCTTGAAAGATTCAGATGAATGATGCAAAGAAGACGCCGGTAGCCAACTGACAACAACTTGAACAAGTACTTGTTTCTGTTTATTTAATGAGACAAACACAATCAAGGAGTTATGAACGCATAGATACTCGAGGAAATAATACAGGTAACTCAAATAAATGATTTAATAGTGCAGAAATAAACAGAAATAGTGAGAATGGTTTTCAACTTTTGACCTGATCAGTTCACAGTTGTAAAACTCCGTTTAAAATAAACACTCATTAGACACACACACATGTATACTCAAAAGTTGATACAAAACAAAAAACTCGATATTGATTTGATATTTATACATTGTATATAGTTTTACCATGACAAATTTACAGATCAACTGATCAAGTTCAATATTTATTCTGTTGAGATGTTTTTCTTTGCATTATGCATAGCAGATTAGCTACATGTATGGTCCTTGGACTTGGAAAATTCAGGCAAATAATCTGTTTTTCACTTTCTTTGTTTGTTATACTTGGAGATATTGATTTGGTAATTGTCATGAATCATGATTGTTGTATAGTTTACCATGACAAGTTGCATATACAATAAGGAATTTAGGGCCCAAAAACTAGGATTTTCTGGTTTCCATACATTAATTTGAATATAATATAAAAATAAGAAGATGTGGTATAATTGCCAAATAGACAACTCTCCATCCGAGATCAAATGACATAGAAGTAAATAACTACAGGTCACGGTACGGCCTTCAATTATGAGCAAATCCCATACATTTCTATGGATCTCTATGAAATTGAACTTCAAGGTTCATACCAAAAAAAGGAAGGTTGGGATTGATTTTGGAGGGTTATGGCCTTAACCATTCAGGAGTTAGCATGGTAAGGCCAGGGTTTTTTAATTTGTTGGTTCGGTCGGTCGAGAATAAAAAGAAAAATAATATCTTTCAAGACAGAAAAAATATATTTCACCTTACTAACAAAATGTTTGGTTTGCTATCTTGTCATCGCTTAAATTCTAGTTCCATGAATAATTATTGCTCAGCTGTTATAAACATAAATATACAATATATGTACATTGTCGGAAAATATATAATTTATTTGTATAAGCTTTAGAAACAGGACGAAAAGCGAGGCTCGCCAAGCTTTTCTCCTGTTTCGTAGCGAATACAAATAAATTTTATATTTTCCGACAATGTACATATATTGTTTTTATCCTGAAATTTACACCCAAAACTTGAAACTTTAGTTGTTAAAATCTAAATCATTGTCTCTAATTATTCAAAGAAATCGACATAGTTTGAACACAGACCGCGAAGAGGACCCCAAAATGAACTGGTACGCAAAAAGAAATATCCACATAACCGCTTGCTCAACATGGAAGCGGGGTAACAGGAGACTTTATTTGTACAAGTACAAATAAAGCAAAAATTTATTTGTGTACCTGTTATTTGTACATTAGTTAGCTGATTGCAGGATAAAATGCATGCCATCATCATACAATTTCCAAATAGGGGGGTTATGTCCAAGGTCATACAATTTCCAAAAAGGTGGGTTATGTCCAAGGACATAGACAAATTAAATCGTTATTTCATGAACAAGAAAAAACAGATCCACCAATTTCAGGAAGACAATACATCAACTGTCAAGATGAAGAACAGGAATAAAAGCCCTGTTCATTGATAATTTTCTATGTTTTCTATGTATTGTGTGCGATTTTGTCCCATGTATATTTACTCCATATCCTTTCATTTTCTATTGGTGAATAATGATCTTCAAGCACGAAAACTAATACATTAAAATTGCAAACACATCATACGAAAATAAGCTTTACCATTCTTGTCAAAAACATAACAGACTTGTCCACTGGAAAGACGAAGATATCAGATTCATGAGTTGTCATGCATTCCCATTTTTGATATCCAAATTTTTTTTTATTATCTATGAAACAAGAAAATTCCAAATTGTTTGTGAATATCTATAATTTACCTTGAAATCTTCCACATTTGGACAGGTCCATTTCATCTATGAGATGATACATCTTACAGATTTATGAAAAAAAAAAGGAAACAAACTTATTGTATTTGGTTTTAAACACAGGTTTCGCTCCGCTGCAAAATTATTTGCGCAAACAACATTTTAAGGTCAATTATGATTGACTTGTCTATTTTTAGATACGACACAATGTGTTATCAATTCTGTTAGTGTTTGATGCATTTCATAAAAAAGAAAATTTGTATTTATATTTCAGGGATAAGGTTTTAAGGTTTTTGTAAGGGTCAGAGGGAATAAAAAGCATGAAATGTCAATTTTATTTTTATTCTGCAAATCAGAAAAACAGGGTCCGCGGATCCGTAAACCAACAAATAAAAAAGCCCTGGCCTAAGGGGCCTAAACAATACTTTTCTAATACACTGTACAAGTTACCTATTTCTTGACCAATTTCAATGAAGTTGAATGCAAAGTCTTGAATTTTTTCGGGTACTTTAATATGCTGAATTAAACTTATCTTGTATTTTAGAGTTTGAATATTTGGATCTGTTTTTAATCAGTCAAGGGACTTACTTTAATGAGTGATTTTCTAAATCACTGATTCAAGTGACATTATGTCCACAAATGTTGGAAGTAAGAGTTGTCATTCTTCAATAATCACCAATTTAAGTTGTACATGTACAAATAAATCACTAGACTAAGTGATTTCATTTATTGTAGCTTTAAATGTATAATACATGCATGGGCTTATTATGTTGCTAAAATTACCAGAACCAACATCTGTGTTTATAGACTGTCCAGTCATGTCAAGTGATAACCTTGTACTGAATCTGGGATATTGACATGAAAATCACTTGTTTAAGTATCATACCTCTATTTATTTTAAAAAATCACTTCTTTAAGTATTATTATTTTAATTAACCCCCCCCCCCCTAATTTCAACACCCCCGAACAGTGAAATTTTGATGGTGAACAGTAAAATTTTATTATCTGTTAAGAAAGGAAAGTTCATTTATTTCAATTTTACTAATAATTAGATATAAACTAAAACTGTATGTTAAAAATGTTGGTAAAACTACAAATTGACAACATTTCTTATTTGCAAATTTTTGTACTTAAATGAGTGATTCATAAATCAGTTATTTCAGAACAACCGGGCCCTGACTGTTAATTGGTCCACATTGTGATCTAAATTGTCAAAACTTAAACTTTGTTGAATGCCATCAAAAATTGAATTATTGACTTTTTTTTTATATGCAGAATCTAACCGTGTATATATATTTGGATTTTTAATTTTGGGTCTGGTTTTCAAATTTGTCTTCATAAAGGCAGGGGTCATGTTTAAAGCATCTGATCTGTATGAAGAATGGTAGGTCCATGACTTGTAATCTAAAAATAAGTCCCCTCCTACATGTCCTAGAAAAGACAGGTCCCGGACCTCAGACTTGCACTATTTTGAACCCATGCATAAATTAAAGGTCCAAACGGCAAAAAATTTAACTTTAATATGTATATTGGTATGACGTTGGCGTCGTCGTCTTCCGAAGACACATTGGTTTTCGCACTCTAACTTTAGTTTAAGTGTATGGATCTCTCTGACATTGTACCACAAGGTTCCATATCACAAAGGGAATGCTGGGATTGATTTTGGGGGTAATTGCCTCCAAATTTTAGGAATTAGGGGCAAAAAAGGGGCAAAAAACAAGCATTTTTCTAGTTTCATGACAATAACTTGTGTGTAAGTGTATGGATCTCTCTGACATTGTACCACAAGGTTCCATATCACAAAGGGAATGCTGGGATTGATTTTGGGGGTAATTGCCTCCAAATTTTAGGAATTAAGGGGCCAAAAAGGGGCAAAAAACAAGCATTTCTCTAGTTTCATGACAATAACTTGTGTGTAAGTGTATGGATCTTTATGAAATTGTACTACAAGGTTTCATATCACAAAGGGAAAGCTGGGTTTGAGTTTTGGGGTAATTGCCTTAAACATTTAGGAATTAGGGGCCAAAAAACAAGCATTTTTCTAGTTCCCAGACAATAACTTGTGTGTAAGTGTATACATGTAGATCTCTCAGAAATTGTACTGCAAGGTACCATACCACAAAAGGAAGGCTGGGATTGAGTTTGGGGGTGATGAATCATAAGGGGGTTCAACATATTTGGGGGGGGGATTTTTTTTTTCCTTTTTTTCTTTAAAATTTTCCATTTTAAATTGGTTAAATCTGATTTTATATATAAAAGCAAATAATAATGATATGGTTTGAATAGGTTAATTAAAATTTTTTAAGTTCTTAGACCACATTCATTCTGTGTCAGAAACCTATGCTGTGTCAAATATTTAATTACAATCCAAATTTAGTGCTGTATCAAGCTTGAATGTTGTGTCCATACTTGCCCCAACTGTTCAGGGTTCGACCTCTGCGGTCGTATCAAGCTGCGCCCCAGCGGAGCATTTTATTCTTTATTGTTCTAAATGATGTTAATAGCAACTTCAATCCATTGCTTTTTGATATTTGATAATACATGCTGTTAATAAAGCACTGTTTTCCTCCTTTCAGCAGTACATTGTATTACAACAAATGGACAGAGGATCCGGAGTTGACTATTGATAGTGACTGATAATGGACTGGAGTAACCTAGCGTCCAATGACTCTGAACATGCCAGACAGTACTGGCATGTGTACATGTATGTCGACAGCCAATTCTAAGTAACCTTAAACGTATACATTGTATATACAAAAGACCTACAATAATGGTATGTGTATCTAGTGGTGCAATCAGGGTTTTGTTTGTGCAATGGGGTTTATAAAGGGGTACTTTGAGGGGCAAAAAGAAAAGAGGGTTTTACTATAGAACCCTATGGGATTTTATTTTTTAAAATTTTCAAATGATTATAAATTGAAAACCGTTTGTGATAGACACAATCTTTTTAATTGAAAATGTTCTAAATGATAAAACCCATTCAATGAAATACAGGGTTAGTCCCCAGGGGTCATCCCCACCCCCTGCCATTTAAGAAAGTTCTAATACCTTGTAATTGGTCAAAATCCCCACCCCTAAATCATATATATTCTGGTTTGTCATGCTAAGAAGGTTTGAATGATATACAGGGTTAGTCCCCAGGGGTCATCCCGACCCCCTGCCATTTGAGAAATTTCTAATATCTTGTAAATGGTCGAGATCCCCACCCCTAAACCATATATATTCTGGTTTGTCATGATAAAGCAAATCAAATGAAATACAGGGTTAGTCCCCAGGGGTCACCCCCACCCTATGCCATTTAAAAAAGTTCTAATATCTTGTAAGTGGTCAAGATCCCCACCCCTTAACCATATATATTCTGGTTTGTCATGCTAAGATGGTTTGAATGATAAACAGGGTTAGTCCCCAGGGGTCATCCCGATCCCCTGCCATTTGAGAAAGTTCTAATATCTTGTAAATGGTCGAGATCCCCACCCCTAAACCATATATATTCTGGTTTGTCATGGTAAAACACATGAAACGAAATACAGGGTTAGTCCCCAGAGGTCACCCCCACCCCATGCCATTTAAGAAAGTTCTGATATCTTGTAAGTGGTCAAGATCCCCACCCCTAAACCATATATATTCTGGTTTGTCATGCTAAGATGGTTTGAATGATATACAGGGTTAGTCCCCAGGGGTCATCCCGACCCCCTGCCATTTGAGAAAGTTCTAATATCTTGTAAATGGTCGAGATCCCCACCCCTAAACCAAATATATTCTGGTTTGTCATGCCAAGATGATTTGAATGATATACAGGGTTAGTCCCCAGGCATCACTAATGCATATAACTTTACTGGACCAAACCAATTTTCACTGGACTTTGCCCCATGTCAGGCGACCCTGGGAATTACGAATTATGGGAGCTTCGTATGGGAGACTTCGTAACAGCATCCTGTAACAATCATTTCTTGTTTAATACCAGTATTGGTAATATAAATTTTTTAAAAATCTGACACTTATTTTCTCTCTTGTTAAATATTTTTTTTGAAATATTCACCAACATGACCAAGAGAGAACTGTATTGCCAATTTATTTTTATCGGAAAGCAGTGCATCAGGTTCAGGTGTTTTACATGATAATCACAGGAATTTAAATTTTCAGAATTAGCTCCTGAGATGTCAGTGGAATGGAAGTAATACACATCATATGTTTCAATGAAATTAACATGATTAATGATGGGATAAGACGTAGAGAAGATCCTATAGCTACAGTACATGTACATGTAACTGGTATGTATATTTGTTACAGTATTAATAGTCCAAATGGTATAACAATAACGAAAATACTGAATTCCAAGGCAATGTCAAAAAAGGGAAGTCCATGCATATGGTAGTGGCTGCTGGGTTTTACCATTTGTATTATTAAGCTTTACAATGTATATTTCATAGGGTAGTAGACTTGGATGTTTCATAAATTGTATACAGATTCCTTTTGTTACAATGTTTCTGTCCTTCATATGTTGGTTGGCCATGTTAGATCACATTTTAATGGTTGAGCGACTGCTTGAAAAAAAGTTAAGGTTTTTATACGACCGCAAAAATTGAAAATCGTATATTGGTATCACGTTGTCGGCGTCGGCGTCCACCCCCCTTTTTTTTTTTTGAAAACTTATAAACAGTCAGGATCCCCACCCCGAAACCATATATATTCTTGTATGGGACAATAAAACAAATCAAATGAAATAAAAGGCCAGTCCCCTGGGGTCACCCCACCCCCTCCTGTTTGAGAACTTGTAAATGGTCGAGATCCCCACCCCTAATTCATATATATTCTTGTATGGGACAATAAAACAAATCAAATGAAATATAGGGAAAGTCCATGGGGGTAACCCCCACCCCCCTTCTTTTTGATAACTTGTAAACGGTCGAGATCCCCACCCCTAAACCATATATATTCTTGAATGGGACAATAAAATAAATCAAATGAAATTGAGGGAAAGTCCCCTGGGGTAACCCCCACCCCCCTTCTTTTTGAAAACTTGTAAATTGTAAAGATCCCCAACCCGAAACCATATACATTCTTGTATGGGACAATAAAACCAATCAAATGAAATATAAGGTGAGTCCCCTTGGGTCACCCCCACCCCCCTCCTGTTTAAGAACTTGTAAACGGTCGAGTTTTTCATTATTAATAAGATAATACCACATTGAGGTCCAAAGGGTCCTAAATTAAACTTTTGTTTAATTTCATCAAAAATTTAATTCTTTGGTTCTTTGATATGCTGTTTCTAACAATGTTTGAGTGTTAAATCATATCTAATTTTAGAGAACTTAGCCATCACTGGTTGTTGTTATTATATTATTGATTATAATTTGAAAAATTGCTTCATCTCTTATTTTAGAGAACTATTTATCCAGTTTGAGTTATTTCCATTTGCACAGAAAATATTATGGATAAAATTAACCTGTGTTTCATTTCAACATAAATTAAATATATATATAGGGTTCTTCAAATGCTGAATCAAAACTCTATTTAAATATTAGATTTTTAGGCCCAGTTTTCAAGTTGGTCCAAATCAGGGTCCAAAATTAAACTTTGAATTTATGGGGTTCTTTGAAATGCTGAATCTAACCATATATTGAGAGATTTTGGATTGTGGGCTCCTTTATCAAATTGGTCCACATTGAGGTCCAAAGGGTCCTAGATTAAACTTTTGTCTGATTTCATCAAAAATTGAATTTAGGGGTTCTTTGATATGCTGATTCTAATATGTACTTAGATTTTGGATATCGGACCAGAATAGGTATTTAAATGTCCAATTTCAAATATATCAGTTCTTTGACTACATTCATTTTGTGTCACAAACCTATGATTTGTCAAATATTCAATCACAATCCAAATTCAGAGCTGTTTTAAGTTTAAATGTAGTGTCCATACTTGCTCAACTGTTCAGGGTTCGACCTCTGCAGGAAAATCCGGTTTGCTGTCTCTCTGACAGCCTCTTGTTTGACAATATTCTGGTCTCAAAGCAAAATATATAGATTCAGTGTAAGACTTTTAGTTTTTAGGGACAATTTCAAAAGACCAATATGTAGGACAAAGCAAAAAATGTTTCAGTTTGCAGAAAAACCTTTTATACCTGTCAATTATGTTTTTTTCAAATTAAGTTAAGAGGGGGCTGATTATCATTGATATAACTATGTCAAGTCAGTTTTTATAACACATTTCAATTACAACTTGATGTAGTTCCTAACTGGGATACAATTTAAAGTAGTTTGTAATAGACAAAAGGTCCTTAAATATAATAAAACTCGAAGTTTAAAACATAATTACTAAATTACAAATAGAATGCAACACTAATAGAATAGTCATAAAGAAGGGCAATCAATGAACAAAAGACAAACCCGGGAACAGATAAAACACAAAACGACAAACATTATAGACAATCAACAATGAAAAATAAAAATAAATGAGAAAAATGGATCTAAAAAAACAGGGGCTACGTCAGAGGGTGAACAGTACTTGCTTCTTGCAAGACACTTGCCGTGAAAACAATTTGATATGAAGACAAGCTTTTGTTTTGAAATTTCCAACATGAGGCATTTGCCTCAATGTAGTTACGGCCCTGTAATAAAAGTGAGGTAAATGTTCACGAGACAATATACCTCAAGTGAAACGAAACCCATTTTCAAACATTTCAAATACATTAATATTTATATTATTAAAAGATTTGGGAAGTTTTTCCTGAAAAAAATATAAAAAAAAAACAAATTTTGGAAGAATCTGGTGCCATCTCATACTTCAAAATAGCATTTATAAAATGGCTTAAAAGACCTGCCAAGTTATTTTCAATACATTGTAAGTCAGGTTATTTATTTTCAAAATGGTCAATTGACCTGATAAGGAGTTATTGCCCTTTAAAGTCAAATTTAACAATTTTTCGTAATTTTTTTTAATTTACAAAAGTCTTCTCCTGAAACAACAGAGACAAATAAACCAAACTTGGCCACAATCATCATTAGGGTATCTAGTTTTTAAAAACATGGCAGATATGGCTAAAAATAGAACATAGAGGGAAAATGCAGTTTTTGACTTATATCTCTGAAACTAAAGCAAAAGTATAACGGTTGCATTATTTCATGCATCAATTGTAAATAAAAATATCAGGTGAGAGATACAGGCTCCTTGGAGCCTCTAGTTTGGTGTATGCAATAATTGAACATGTTGTAAGGTGCACATGTCTGTCTGGCTTGGTTTATCTGAACTTGACCTTAATATTTGCTTGACAGTATATTTTCATGAATCATTGGTAATGTTAAGTTTATTTAATACTTATCGTAAACTTATAATTATTCTTATATCTTTAGGACAAGCACCATAAAACAGTGGGGACATAAAAATACCTGGAGTCCGTCTATCCCTTTGGCCTTATAACCGCTCTCACTTGCATGTCTTGTACAATTCTTGTCAAATTTTTAGGAAACTTATTTTGATTGGTTATATCAACAATGTCTGACAAGTTTTAAAATCAGTGCCAATCAATCATTTTTAAAAGAGTTATGCCCCTTGGAAACATTAATTATTTGGAAAATTGCATTGTTAGGGCTCTTGTGTACAATTCTTGCCAGAATTTTATGAAATTAATATTAAATAGGTTTATATCATCAGAATGATCAGAGCATTTTGATTTTCATCTGTAATGTTTACAAATTCCAGGTTTCATGGCAAATTTCAACCATTATAAACCTCCACAACCTCCATAGCGGTGGTAATCAAAAAGTAGTGCAGCAACAAACAACAACTATTAATATTCCACTCCAATTTATCCGACACACAATATACATGTATGATTATATACATAGATATAAGAAGATGTGGTATGAGTGCCAATGAGACAACTCTCCATCCAAGTCACAATTTATAAAAGTATATATATATATGTACCCGGTAAGTTTGGATATTAAATTGATGTTATCATTTTTGCTTGAATGGTAAGGCAATATTTAATTTGATGTATATTTTACAAAATAATATATGCTGGGTTTTTTTTTTATTACAGCAAATGTATTCCAAGAGTTTATGGCTGATTATGCAACTACAGGATTTTATCATTGAAGCAACATCTTAGAAGGATAAGTGCAAATGTATGAAGGAATCCTTGTGTACAAATACATGTAGCAATTACATGCAGGAGAGGACACTTAAACATTACTAACATGTAGTCATGATATTGGAGTGGTGCATTCTAGAAATCTAAACACCTGGAATTAAATATTGTGTATATTTTTTTTCAAGCACAAGTACCTTCAGCATATAATACAATTCATATTCAAATTATTGTGTCAACATGACAGTTACTTTCTAAAAATGGAAAATGCTTGTTTTAAAATGAATTTTATATAAATATTTTAAATAACAAGAATTTTTAGCTTATTGTGAAGCCAAACTTTGAGATCTTTTAATGGTATATGCCTGTTGTTTGTCAACATTTATTTTCTTTTTGACTTCGCCTTAAGATCAGTGTTAATATGAAAAACTGAAAACCATATATGAAATAAGAAGGAAATGGTTGTAAATAACAGCAAGACTTTCAATATGGTATATCAAATATATTTCACAGAACTTTCTATTTCAGTTTATTAATACAATGAGATATGAGGTATAAATCAATCAGACAGTAATACAACAACAAAAACACATGAAAGGCATTAAGGTGCTAACATACAGTCCTCAACAATAGACAGGTGTCTAAACAAGATGTCATGATCTGTTTAATTGACCAGAGTACATGAGTATGTGGCAGGGTGAACTACCTTTTTTCTTCAAAACTCTCATAAGAAGAATTGGCATCTTTTGCAAGTAAGACTTTTCCATAATGTGATTGGAATGTCTCAAAACTGATGAACACAAAAAGACTTATACATACATATTAAAAATGAAATATACATCAGTGCATACATCTTCTTTAAATGAATCACCTTCCATACATCAAATTAAAACAAATATTGAGACTTGAATACAACAAAAAATGTTGTAGGAGTGAACCATGGTGCCCTGGATATTTGTTTGTCTTCTTGGTTTTATTGCATCTTATCTGCTGCATTGAAGATATTGTGAGTTGGAGTTGATGAATAAATATTATTTGTATTGTTTAGGACCAAGAAATTTAAGATACAAAGAGAAAGTAAAATAGAATGGAAGTATGAATACATCCTCAAGACCAAGAAGAATATTTATATATATCAAAATAGAATGTGTACTAGATTAGCATTTACTTATCTAAAATATGCTCAAATACTTTGAAATTTGTGTGATTGAGACTCAATTCACCTTAATTTCATTTTAAAAAAATAATGTGAAAGCTCGATTCACATTAATTTCACGTGAAACAATTAACGTGAATTTCACGTGAAAGCTCGATTCACGTTAATTTCATGTGAAAAATTTCACGTGAATATCACGTGAAAGCTCGATTCACGTGAAATTCACGTAAATTTAACGTGAGTTTCACGTGAAAAATTTCACGTGAGTTTCATGTATAAGCTCGTTTGAGGTGAATCTCACGTGAAAAATTTCATGTGAAATTCACGTGATTTTCACGTGAAATTTACGTGAACAAAATTTGCCTGTGTACCATACCAGACAGTAGCTTTTATTATCTCAATAGTTACTTTTATAAGAGATTATTGATTGCATAACTTAACTGATCAGCTATTTGTAATGGAGGAACATTTGATAGCCTTTAAAGCAATTTGTCTGATCACATAAAGACTTAAGTCAATAATTTTTGTCATTTGAAGTTAAAATTTCTATACAATGTGCTTTAAACAAACATTTGTTTCAGATGTGGAACCAGTGAAGTCCTCTCCAGTGGACAGTGATAAAAATTCATCAGAAAATACTGGATCTGACATGTCTGTCTCTTTTGATGAACTTGGAGGTAATTGTTATATATGTTTAATATAGATATCAGAAAGTACTGGATCTGACACGTCTGTCTCTTTTGATGAACTTGGAGGTAATTGTTATATCAGATGTGGATCCAGGATTTTGAAAAAGGGGGGCCGGGGTCCCAAACTAGGCAACCTTTGGAGTGTCTATACTTCAACCATATTTTGAGCTAAAAAAGGGCGGGAGGGGGCCTAACATTTTAAGATGAACATGTCACTCTAAGTAAATGGACAACTATATATGTTGTATAAAATCATTGTAAGATAGACGTGTCACTCTTAGTAAAAGAACAACTTTATATGTTGTTTGAAATTATTGTAAGATGGACATGTCACTCTAAGTGAATGGACAGCTATCTCTATGTTGTATAAAATCATTGTAAGATGGACATGTCACTCTTAGTAAAAGAACAACTTTACATAATGATATAATGTATGAAATTATTGTAAGATAGACAAGTCCATGTGTCAATGGTCATCTGACATTTAACATTGTTTTTCATTGGTCTTTGATCAATATTAGGTTTTTGTCAGGGGAGACATTTTAGCGTGTCCACTCTTATAATTTACATGTTTTATGGTTCTATTTTAGATTCCTGGGTAGAAGCTAAACCAAAGAGTAAAAAGAAGAAAGCAAGACGTGAGAATTAAGTAGAAACCATTCCTGTGATACAGGTGTAAAGTGCTACAGAGCCAAGGCCAGTCATAAGATAGAGAACCCCTCAAGTCTGATATTAAGTTGGACTTATTTTGTTTTGTTATACATGTAACAAAAACAAAGCTAAAATATTTAAATGGCCTAGGTTTCCAATGTCAGAAATTTGTTTATGTTTACGTTATTTTCTGTTAGCTTTTTTTGACATTTTTACATCCTATTGATTGACATTTTTACGTTTTTGTGAGGACCATTTTTTCCAAGCTTCTTTTTCTTTGAATCCATAGATATGTTTTTTCGTTACTTAAAGTATGAGTACTCAGTTTTGTTTCGAGGGGACATACTAGTAGTTTTATTGGTAGTGCTTGTCAGATAAACTATGGTATTATAGAAGTATTACATTTTAGTTGATGAATTTGCAAAACATTTGATTCTACGCACACTAAAAAATACCAAAGAATCCATGACACATTTTTATATTTTTTATTGAGTTAAATAATTTTCAAAACAGACATGATGTTTTAGAATCAATGAAATGAGAAGAATTTTCAGGGACCTTTTTAGTTTTACTTTATGGTCAGGTATATGTTGTTTCTCATAGTTAAAAATTTAGAAGTCGTCTGTAATGCTCCATCTCCTTTGGATGAAAATGAATGATTGAAGTAACAAGTTCATTTCTAGAATTACCTCTAAAAAATTCAGATGTTATTTCACAATTACAGTATTGGCAAATGTCAAGTCCTCTGACACCGACCAGATAGCAAAGTTCCTGCCAGCAAGTTTAATACAATATATTTATATCTAGTCTAATGTAGTTGGAAAAGTTATAGGTGATTGTGTTGTTCAAACAGGAGCAATTTTGTTGAAGATTGTGGATTGAATTTGAAAATAATACCTAATATTTTAATTCATGTGTAGTGTTTTCTTCCTTCAGAAAGAAAAATACAAAATTCTAATTGCAAAATTCAAGTTGAATTTTAAATTAGATATAAATGCAATGAAAAATAGTCAAAAATATAGATCAACATTAAAGAAAAATTATTATAAAGAAATGAATCATACATTATTCATATACCTTTTTTTTTTATTATACTTCTTTTTACCATTATGAAATACTTGGTGCAGGGATCAATGTATGCCATGTCAGGTTAGCCTGTTTTTAAAATTGGTTGAGTGGCAGTAATTTTAAAATGAATAAGGGTAGGCTTATTACTGGTGCTATGTAAACATCTAGTCTGTAATTACAGCAATATTTGTATCTCATATCATAACAGATGTTTCATAACACTGACAAAACTTTTAACACATATCTTAAATTTAGGTCAAATACTTTCAATGACAATGCATATAAAGGTTCACAATTATTATTCATACTGATATTTTGAGTTGGATGGTAGAACAATTAACTCTGTGTAGCAGTGCTTCAAGCAATTTGACCACCAGATTCTGGTTTAATACCACCATTTAATTTCTTACATTTTCATTTCTATAAATACACCATTAAATTATATGAAAGACAAAGAAAGATCTTGTAAAATTTATTGTTATAATAGATTAAGAACTCCATTATAAGTTTCAGAAGTTCATTGGAAGGTGTAGAAATGATCAAGTTTTGTGTCATGAAAGATTACTGATATCTGTCTGATTGCGTCCATTTATATAATTCCTGGAAACAAGTTTTTTCAAAGGACTTGAGCAAATGTACAAGGAGCTGCTGGACAGTTCATAATGAAATAGATTTTAAAAAAGGACACAAATATTATTAATAATGATTTTTAAAGATGTATAATGTATATAGAATTAGTAAAGGGAAATAAAATTGAAGAGTAATAATTGCACCAGAAATTGTTTTAGTATAATTTCCTAATATCAGGAACTCTTGAGTTTGCTTTAGTTTACACAGAAACTTTTCCCAGGAGAATTATGACTCCGTCCTTCGGAAGTGTGGTTGTGATGGATGATCGATATCTTATTCTTGTGTGTTAAAGACTGGCATTATCCAGGTAACTGTGATTACAAAGAGATTGTGTCCCTTGAAAATTCCTTGAAAATTTTAAGTTCCTTGCTGAACTTAAGAAAGGTAGGATTCTTTCCTGATGTTTGTCAGATTTAGTGAGGTGAGAAACATGGATTGTTTATATTATAAGTATGTCTGAAATTTCAGATTAATACTATTTCAACATAAGTTTTTTACATCAAATTTGGGCTTTATATAAAAGAAAATAAGCTACTGATAATAAGGGCACAATTTTATTTGGTAGTTTCCTTAAATCTAATTTCTTATAGTTGTTGAATTTTTTGCTATCTCCTGGTTGAATTTTGTTATGTATGCTTCAATGAGGTGTTGGGGAAACAGAACATATTTGCAAGTTATGTCGTAGTTAAAAAAATAATTTCCAGTGATAATCAAGGGAACTTAGTGACATTGCATAGACAAATCAGATTACAGTTGAATCTTAGTTCAGATTTTAAAACTGACTGGTTGAAGAAAATTCTTCTGTTGCTCCTGTAATATGATGCATTGATAAAGGAAATTATGATTACTGAATCAATTAACTACAATTTTCAAAATGTTTTATTGATAAAAAATAACTTGCTCTGTAAGAGTTAAACTCTGAAACTTTTCAGGAGTAATTGAAGATCTGTTTTTTTATTGAAAGGGACACTAGTAGAAGCTTCAAATTTAATCTATTAATTTTCACTGATCAATCATATGTAGTTTACCAATATACTTTAGTTATAATTGATAATAAGGAGAGAAAAGTAGAAGGTTTTATTTAATAATTAATTGTATGTTATAAGCGAGTTTAGCATCATGTGCTTGATGTTCATAATTGAGAGGGGGTGAATGTGTTGGTATAGGGTATAAATGAATGAACGGTAGAATGTGGACCAAATTATTTTTGTATATATAATTACTAATATATTATGTATATGTATGTCAAATTATATCAAACATGTCAGATCTTCCATACTTATTGTTATTTTTATTTCTCTATAAAAATTGTTATATTTTTTTGATTTTTAATATGACCATACATGTGCATGAAGTTGATATGATGTCCAGCATTTCTGTTGTCTTATTCAGACCTCATAGTGCAGCTTGTATTGTCAGATGAAAGGTGCATACCAGTATATATTGCTTTCACATTTGTAAATTTTATTAAAGAGGAAATTGTTATTTATATTAATTTATATACAAGAATGTGCAAAAAGTCAATTACATATTGAAACAAATAGTTACTAAACATCAGGAAATTTTAAGCATTTTAGCTTTATATGTTAAGGTTCAGATTCACAGATTTAAAAATACAAATGTTTAGCAAGTGCTTTTTATGTACAATTACTTTTGGTATTAATCTGGTATGTTTTTGAAATGAATTAACTTTACTAAAACACTGAAAAATTAACGTAAATATAGCAATGATCGTCAAAGAGGAAGTGGGTGAACTAGAAGTATCCATCTGTTCACAATGATAATAGGATTATGTCTTAGACATACCATAACCAGTGAACATCTACTGAAAAAATCTATCAAATTACAGAATATTTATTTTTGTTTGTATGTCAGATTTGTTTGAGGGTGCTTATGATTATAAATATCTTTTCGGGAGATTTATCTTCTGGAACAGGTGAAAGTGTTGATGCAGAGTTTGACAATAACCTAATTGAATGATTAGCTGGAAAAACTTAGGAAGCATAATGTTAAATAACATCAATATTTAAAACTAAAATAGTGTAATACAGACAGGAGGGTCGTAATGGGGGTATCTTCATGACGAATAACGGTAAAATATCTTGCAAAATGACGTTAACAGTAATTTTTGGTGCATGACAATAAAATGTACATTTTCTTTTTGATGATAAAAGAATCGACTGATTTTGACGAATCTTGTTAAATTCTTTCCAAAAATAACGGTTACGGTTAATTATTTGTGACCTCTGACGAATCACGATAAGGATACTTTGATAAAAAAACGATAAAATTTTAACCAATTTGACTCTAACGGTAGCCGAAAATTACCGTTAGACGCCTGGCGGTAAAGGGCATTCCTATCCTCAGACACTCATCATAAAACTCTGTGATTGTTGTCAAACTCTGTATAAACTTATTTTAAGAAGTAATGGTGCATAGTCCTTCATTGTTGTTGTCTTCCAATAATATCATGTTTATATCAGTCATTACAAACACTACATTCCATATCACAAATATTCCAGCTTTGAGTGTAGGAATTTGCTTGGTAATGGAAAAATGCTTTTATTTCATCTGCTGTCATGACTGTTTAGCATTGTATGTATGTAACCTATTATATGAAATGTGACCAGAGCAGCCAAAAATTATTTCATATTTATGAGATCAGGGTTTAAAATAATTTAATATTTAAATCCCAGGATTCTTTATTGTAATGGAAGGACTTGTCATGTTTTCAAATCAGATTCAAATTATCTTCTTGTGCATATATTTGAAATATGTTTGATTCTACTATGAATAGAAAGGTCAAACTTGTATACACTGTATTTACACAACTATTTTCTGATGAATTGAACACCTGAAAGAATCAAGACCAGGATCAAGACCAGGATTAAAAAAATGGTTGAACCCCTGAAAATAGACTTTTCCATTAGTGTACATTAAAGTGAAAACAGAAAACAGCTGCCAAAATATGAATTTATTTTATTTTTTCAAGATTTCGTCTTGCAAGTCTTATTTGAAATATTTTGATTACATTTGCATGGACTATTATTTTTAGGCATTAATTCTCAATGTAGTTTAATTTGTTTCTAACGTCAAGTATAGGGCTCCTTTGTTTTGTGTTTATTCCTCTTGCCAATTATTCTGTTGATATTACATACAAATTTTCAGTAAGCTCATAAAATATATGTTTTACACAAAAATTAATGCAAGTTCCTTTAATCTCAATCTCAGTCATACATACACCTATAAAATATTCAGTGCATTACCTTGTTACTTATGAATTTATATCACATCTTTACTTTTTAAGATTGCATACTATTTATTGACATGTTTTGAGAGGTTAATTAGTATTTACAACACACATTATAACCACATTAACTTACTTTGTCATTGTAGGAAGCCTCTGTCTCTTACATTTCTAATGTTTAAGTAATCATATACAATGAAGATAAAATTTGAATAAGTTCTACAAAAGCATGAACTGTTTGTCAGGAAATTTGCACTTCAGTCTCAGTGATGTCTTCAATCAGACTGAAATTCAGCTTCTAACCTTGTCTTCAATGTCAGTTTTAAATGCAGTGCTCGGCAAAACTTCCTAACAAATTGAAGAGCAAACTTTTGGTGAATGTAAATTCAGAAATTATTGCATGTATTTATGCGAGATAAAATATTGCAGTTGCAGGAAAAGCTGCATACAGAAATATGTCTTGGATTATTATTCGCATTTATAAAAACCTTGCATTGATTTCTGAATTTACAGTATTGTGAAAAAGATCTAATGCACCAGATTTTTTAGTATATGAAATGTAATGTCTCTAGCAACTTTATAAGTTTTGCAGGGTTTGTCTGAAGTTTTGTGTGCAAAAAAATCATGAAGCAGTAAAGTAAATTTTGTATGTTTTAATATGAAAGAACTTAAATATTTAAATTTTAAAGAGGATATTTAACTGCAGATATTATTTTGTTGCAAAAAATTTATATTTTTTGTTTTGTTTAGGATTTTATAAATGACTAGTGAAAGCTTCATTGTTAAGTGATAGAAGAAAAAGGTAATATATGAAAGATTTTAAAGTAATCATGTAACTATGGAAACAGGGTGTTTCAAGGGGAGATAATTCTAAGTCAGAAAGTGCAATGTTAATCATGATATTTCTTGTTATTGTTAGTCATTGTACTGAGAAATGAAATAAAAACTAATGTTTTATTTGTTTGGTTACTTGTCTATTTTAACAAATGGTCAAAAGAATCAACAAGGCCACCGATGTATGATGAAGGTATTTTGAGCCTTTCTTGAATTTATACAAGTTCTAGGGCTCACTCTTAAACCACAGAAATCATAGAGAAAAGGGCTTTTGATGGTCAAATTATTGTAAGAGTTGACCACTGGAAACTCATTTTTGTCTCGCCTTGACGGAGTCAAAAAGCGAGACATAGGTATGCTGTTTCCGGTGTCGGCGATGGCGACGGCGTCAACAATGTATAAGTTTGTGATTAGGTCTAGTTCATGGTGAACCACTAGTGGTAGGTCAATGACATTTGGTATGCAGTTGTATTAGTATTGGCACATCTTATTACCATGGAGATTATTTGGCCCCGCCCCCTCAGTCAAGGTCTATTGACTGAAACTTTTCATAGTTAACATGTATTAGTTTGTGATTAGGTCAATTTATGGGGAACCACTAGTGGTAGATCAATGATATTTGGTATGCAGTTGTATAAGCATGGGCATATCTCATTTCCATGAAGATTATTTGGCTCCTTCCCCTTTGTCATGGTCTATAGACTGAAAATTTTGCTAAGTTTACATGTATTAGTTTGTGATTAGGTCAGTTCAAGGGGAACCATTAGTGGCAGGCCAATGTTAATTGGTGTTCAGTTGTATAAGCATTAGCTAATCTCATTTCCATGGAGAATATTTGGCCCCGCCCCCTCAGTCATGGTCTATTTACTTTGAAACTTTTGCTTAGTTTACATGTATTAGTTTGTGATTAGATCAGTTTAAGATGAACTGCTAATGTTAAGTCATTGATATTTGGTATGCAAACTTTTTGGCATTTGCAAGTATTGTTTCCATGGAGATTATATAGCCCCACCCCTGATCATGGTTCATTGACTTTGAAACTTTTACATAGTATACAAAATGCAAGTTAATGTTTGTGTTTAGGTTTGTTTAAAGGGAACGACTTATAATAAGTCAATGGTATTTGGTATGCAGTTCTATCAGCATTGGCACATCTCATTCCATGGAGATTGTTTAGCCATGTACCTTCGGTCATGGTTCATCGACTTTGAATATTTGCATTACTTACATGTTAAAGTATTGCAATTTTAATTTCAACATTTGCATTATCAAAATTACAAAAAGGCGAGACATATCTCTGTGATAACAGTTTATTTGCATTGAACATAATATTTTAAATATATAACACAAGAGTGAACACACTGAAATGTCTCACCTGCTTTACTGACCATTGATTTTATGTTGAAAGTCCTAAGAAAAAGGTTTAACTTAAAGCATCATAGAAACTCAGGTCAGATAAATGCTGTCAGACAGACATATACATCTTACAATTTTTTTATACAAAAAATATATTTGACCTATTGCCTATAGTACTTGAAAAACAGACCAAAACACATAAACTTAACATTGACCAATGAACAATGAAAATGAGGTCAAGGTCAGATGAAACCTGTCAGACTGTCATGTACCCATTACAGTCATTCCATACACCACATATAGTTGACCTGCTGCTTATAGTATTTTAGAAACATACCTAATCACGTAACTTTAACCTTGATCACTGATCCATGAAATGAGGTTGAGGTCAAGTGAACCCTGTCTGACTGACGTGTAGACGTTACAAGGAACCTGTATACAAAATATTGTTATCCTATTACTCATAATAAGTGAGAAATTCCTGTGACAAAAAAACTAAAAATTTTTTTTTTCAAGCAGTCGCTGAACCATGAAAATGAGGTCAAGAACATTGGACATATGACAGATGGAAACTTCGTAACATAAGGTATCTGCATACAAGATATGAAGCATCCAGGTCTTCTACCTTCTGAAATATAAAGCTTTATACAAATAGTTTACGCAGCCGCCGCCAGATAGTTAAACCTATGTCTCGCATACTGCGACCTTCGCTGCAGGCAAGACAAAAATGAAAGAATAATTTTTGCAAAACATTTTTTTCTGAGCCACAAGTGGACATGTTTTATATCGTTGAAATAAGCAGGTGTATTCTGTACTTGCAAAATCTAAAGTCCCACAAGCATATCTGATTACAAGGCACTCTAAACCATTTCTAAAAATTCACACTGGCCAGTGGCAACACAGTATCCTGTTTACAGTTCATGACTTTCTAGTACACAAATACACCTGTCAAAGAATTAGGATAAAGTCTTTTCATGTAAAGAGAAATAACAAATGTAGTGGAAACTGATAGTATGAAACACTCAAAAATCACCTAGATGAATATGAATTAAAGAAACAATAAAAAGGTCATATTCTTGACTTGATGCGTACACCCTCCTTTTGATAAGAGGCGTTATAGCACAATGGTGCTCACTAGTATAACATTTTATGGTTTTGATGTGAGCTCTCCCAGTACTACAGTATTGTAAAGGTTTTTTTACAAAATTTAAATGCAAGGTGGATGGTGTCCATTGGTTTTGAAGAAGCTTCTGTCCAAATAGCGTAAAACTCCATGACGGTTTGACAAAGTTTTTTGTGTAAATAAATTGCTCCGCTGGGCACAGCTTGATACAACCACAGAAGTTTTGCTGATGCAGTGAAATGATATTTGTAACCACAAAAAAAACAAACTGACACATGCAATGCTGCCAATGCATTATTGTTAATCATGTTCTAATACGAACTCCTAAAATGTTTAAAGTAAAGTATTATTTTTGCCAACCTGTCAACCATAGAATTGACAGCAGATGTAATCCAATAATAAAATGCTCCGCTAGGCGCAGCTTGATACAACCGCAGAGGTCGAACCCTGAACAGTTGGGGCAAGTATGGACACAACATTCAAGCTTGATACAGCACTGAATTTGGATTGTGATTAAATATTTGACACAGCATAGGTTTCTGACACAGAATGAATGTGGTCTTAGAACTTAAAAAAAATTAATTTACCTATTCAAACCATATCATTATTATTTGCTTTTATATTTAAATCAGAAATAACCAATTTATAATGGAAAATTTTAAAGAAAAAAAATGGAAAAAAAGGAAAAAAAAATCCCTCCCCCAAATTTTTTGAACCCCCTTATGATTCATCACCCCCCAACTATATCCCAGCCTTCCCTTTGTGGTATGGTACCTTGCAGTACATTTTCAGAATGATCCATACACTTGAACACAAGTTATTGTCTGGAAACTAGAAAAATGCTTGTTTTTAGGCCCCTTTTTGGCCCCAAATTCCTAAACGTTTAGGGCAATTACCCCCAAACTCAAACCCAGCTTTCCCTTTGTGATATGGAACCTGGTAGTACAATTTCATAAAGATCCATACACTTACACACAAGTTATTGTCATGAAACTAGAAAAATGCTTGTTTTTTGCCCTTTTTTTGGCCCCTAATTCCTAAAATTTTGAGGCAATTACCCCCAAAATCAATCCCAGCATTCCCTTTGTGATATGGAACCTTGTGGTACAATGTCAGAGAGATCCATACACTAACACATAAGTTATGTCTGGAAGTTACAAAAATGCTTATTTTTGGCCCCTAATTCCTTAACTATCGGTACCATAACCCCCAAAATCAATCCCAACCTTCCTTTTGTGGTATTGAACCTTATGGTAAAATTTCATAGAGATCCATTCACTTAAACTAAAGTTAGAGTGCGAAAACCAATGTGTCTTCGGACGACGACGACGACGCCAACGTCATACCAATATACGACCGCAAAATTTTTTTGCGGTCGTATAAAAACTTGTAACACAGACTGAGCCTAAATGTTGACAACAGTTAACATCAATGACAGACTGTAGGATTGCTAAGCTTTTGTCATGTTCATGTTTTTGCTATGTATGGGAAATTCCAAATATCAATCAGTTCAAAAAATTGTAACAGGATGTTGACACTACCATTTTATACAGAAGATTTTCTGAAAGTTTCAAGAATATCAAGATAGTTAAAAGGTGCAAAGGACAAAAAACCTGACAAACTATTCAAAACACACAGTGCTATCAGGAGAATAATAAGGAGAATAGTCACAAATTTAAAAAACTTTATTATAATTTATCAAAGTTGCTACATTATAAAACATACAGTATGAAAGCAACAATAACCAAAATCTTTTAAAATATTTAACAAATTAAGCTGAAAAAATTACAAGGACTTGATTATAAGTGTTTCACTCCATCTATGAACTACAATAGGTGGAGAGAAACAATTATAGTCAAAACACTAATAAGTAACAAAAATAATAAAATCTCATGAGAGAAGAAAGTTTCTATTTGGTCATGTTTCCTTATATAATGTGGAAAAATATTCACAAGAACAAACTGAGGGTTCAATCATGTTCAGGAATGTCTTGAGTCTACTTCACTCACTTCAGGCAATAGAGTTTGCAGCATTAAACATATTTTCATTTTCATTTTTTTTTAAATTCCGCCAGCCAAAACAATATAAAAATAAAGAAACATGTGGTATGATTGCCAATGAGACAACGGCCATGAAGACCTGAAAAATTACAGGTCACTGAATGGCCTTCAACAATTAGTTCAGTTCATTGAAAAATTTGCTGACAAAGCAACACAAAATGATGAAATTTAGTAGAGGATCTCCTGATTTGACCATTAAGTATGATTGGGCAATAATGTAGTATATCCTGAACCATTTCTTTAAAAGAATCTGGTTATAATATAAAGCAATTTAGATAAAACCTGTGTAGTTAATACCAGTAATTGTATTCAAAACAGCTGAAAGTATAGTTATCAATTTATTTCACAAAATGTAAAGTTTAAAATTTTAGTTTATTTTTAGACACAAATGTTGTGAGTGGGTCTCATTGGGGTCTAAGCGTGACCCGGGATTGCCGATTTTTTTGTAAGCGTGACACGTGAAAGTCAAATTATTGTGCCATGAAAACGGGAAATGAAGTCTAGCGGGACACAGGAAATTACAAAAAAATGAGAATTACTTACGTACATAGTGTAAGCGGGATACGGGAATCTGACAAAACAGT